TTCTAATGGTTTGGGTACAATTCTTGTACTTAGGTTGCCATCTTAAAGGTGCCTTACATACATGATGGACAATCATGTGAGTGCAAGGTATTCGAACTTCACTGTGGCATGTTCAAGGTTTGAAACACTGCTCACAAAGGACTCAGTCTGCAAAAGGCCAAAACAGAGACTGTCTTTACATCCTGTAAGTCTTCCTTAGCTTAAACACCGCTTTTATCTTTAAGTAGAAAGGCTATAAAGGGAAAAATAGAAAAATGGCTAGCTGAGTCCCCAAGCTGGTTCCTTTAAGGAATTCACCACTTCTTTTGAATCATATGGAACTAAGTATTTAGCTGCCGATTTTGGATAGGCTGTTTGTCCAAAACGTATGAACATTACATTATGATGAAGAATTATCCACTGGGATGACAGCTTTTGACATCAGAGAAGAATTCTCTTACTCTAAGACCAGAATTTTAGGAATTCTACGTCCACCAACAACCTCATCATAAGTCTGGGGTGCCACATGAGACCTTAAATCTAATGAACTGTATGCCTTCCACTGTGCCTCTATTCATAGTTGGGAGTTACTCTTTTTCTTACTCTTCAGCATTTGTTAGACTGTCAGACTGGAATCATCCTCCAAAAGCCCCCTCTTTCAATCACCTTTTCCTCGTGTTCTCTGATGCAGCCAGGACAGTCTTAAAGAGTTTGTCCCTTACCTAGAGGTACTTAATTTTTTGCTCAAATCAGACAGGATTCTCAACATTTCCTACTATTGCTCTTGCTGACTTGGTTGTACTGCTGTTTCTAGTGCTGAGAATGGAGCACTCCTGGCTCTCCTAGCTCCAGCCTTTCCCAGAGCAGTTCTAGCAAATACATATTCTAGCTTAGGCATCCTAACTCATGGCAGAACTGAACTAGTAGCAACACAATAACATTGTAGTGGGGAAAATAGTATAGTCACAGGCTGCATTGGGGATAGCCTCAAATGTAAGGCATTGTACAAAACTGTACGTAGTGGGGCCAGTAAATATCCCACTCTCTTTGTTTCTTTCTAAGAAGGAACAGCTATGTCCCCATACAGAGAAGGTAAGTACTGCATCTTTAAGGTCTAAGCAGTGAGGTAGAGGAGAGGAACATATTGTCAGTGTTTATATACCTTTCTTCTTTGTTGAATTTGGGATTGGCTTCAGAGATATCCAGGCTTTTACTGAACATTGTTTTACTATGGCAGGAACAAAGCGAGAAAACAGAGTTACTAGTGTGGACATTTATAAAAGAGAGTCACCTGAAGCAATGTTGGACACCCAGCCCCCCAACCCATCCTCCCCTTTTTAAGCAATGTTCTGAAAAGTTTCTTTCACTTTACAGCTATGGGCTAGGCCTACAGAGAGCTGAAGTTCATTATCTCCCCTTGACTTCTGAGGTCTAAGATGATTTCCCCCAAACATACTTGTAAACCCTGCTCTTCTTTATCTAGTTGAAAACCCAGATACAATCTACTTTTATCACACTGTCCAGGGCATACAGAACATGCCTCAAGGCACAAAAGGCAAAAGCACACATTACTCAGATTTCTCTAGAAGATCTCAACAGTAAGCACAACCTGGGAAAGGGTTTAAATTAGGCCATTAGGCCCCTGTACCACTTACTCCCAACTCTCTTTCCCATATCTTAGGTCTGAATTCCTGAAGCTTAAAAGCAAAATTCCTTATGCTTTGCTAAAAGGGGAGTTCTCTATGATATGCTTCACTGTTTCACAGAACACAGCTTCCTAACGTTAGCTGATTTTTCACACAAGCTATCTACTTCAATAACCAGAAAAAAAATGAATAAAGCCCATTTTAGAACAGGTTTTGGATTTTTCCAGTAGAGCTGCTGAAAATTTCTGGTATATCCCCGAAGGATTCTTGTTCCCACAGAATTCTCCTTTATCTGTATGATTTTGGCCCAAGGGATGAATTAGCTGGTATTAAAGTAAGCTCAGAATCTACCTCTTTTCTTTTGACGATACAATGAAATAGCACAAAAGCAGAATCAAGTAAGATGCCACTATGAACCTGCTAGGTGGACAACTAGCAGGGAAAACCAAGTATCAGGTGTCTGTGCACACTAATTTTGTCATTCACAGTCAAAGATCCACTGGAGACCACTTGCAGAGGTCAGCACAAATATTTCAGGGTGTCAGCAAGCTCAAAAAGCAGTGTTTGTATTGAATTCTTCCTATACATTATTCAGAACTAAGCCACTAACTGTCTATGTTTTTCACCTAACACCTTCTCAGCCTGCTTGGCTCAAAGCTGCCGAGTTTCAAATATCAGTAGAAAGATGTGCCCTTAAACAAGCCCAGACCAAATGCTTGTAGAGTCCCCACTTGGTTACCAAAAGCAAGCTCATCACACAGATACATAAAATCAGAAGCTATAACATGAATCCCCTTTTTGCAACAAAACATCTGCTTATTACTGGGAAAAAGGACATGGGACTAAATCATGACACATGGGTGTGTTCTGCTCATGGTCAGAAGAGTCTGCCCACTGGTTATCTGAAGAAAGAAGCAATAGCTCTGTGTCTCCAGATGTTTGTACTGGCCATTTGTGTCTAAACGGGAGGCCTGTTTCCACAGTCCACCTCCCTGTCTTCCTAGTATTATAGGATAAAAGCACTAATCAGTCTTCTATCCAGACCAAAGAATGTCATTCTTAAAAAAAGCATCCAATCCTGGGATCTGATATCTAGCACTGTAAAATCCACTCTCAGTGGGTCATTTCATGGAAAATAATATGCTGCTGGCCACTAAAAATCCTTCAGTCCTGGAGGAAGGCACTTGTCTTTTTGTTACTGACTGCTCTGACAGATGGTGCCCCATCAGCAATGCATCGTCCCCAGACAATCCCTATGCAGTGGTGTTTGTTAATGAAGCCAGTTCATGTTATAAAAGACTGTGCTGCCAGCAACACAATATGTGCCATTGTCATCTGTGGAAGTGGAATGGTATGAGTTATGGAAGCTCAGACATGGAGTAAAATACTATCTTCCCATCAACCCCTTCCAAAACAAGGACTGCCAAGCTCATTATCATCAATCATGGTGTTATTACATCCCTTCCTCCACCCTCAATCACACCCTGTGTCCAACCATGTGTTGTGTGGTATGAATTTCCCTATATCTCTTTTGTGGCTGGAAGGTTTTACTTCCTCCTTAAAGCCAAAACTCTTCTTACTCCTGTCACCTGGATGTGTACCTCCAGTGCTGTGCACTCATCTCAGACCTTTGACTTCCAATAATTTCTCATCCGGAATTAAGTGAGATATTTAAAAGCAAAAGTATAATGAGACACAATTTTGCTTCTTCGGCATTTCCAAATTCAAAGGCAAAGCTGAGAGATGGAAGGTTTCAGTCCTCAGAAAATCTCAGAATCAATCAAATACATTCTAGGCTGGCGGAACAAGACTGGATTATTATCCTCAATTGTTCATCTCACCACTTCCTATTTGTCTTGCCCAGTTGGACAGTTACTGCAAACAGCCGCAGAGTACAACTCACTGGCAACTTTGGGGTGGGGGAAAGTGATTCACCTCTGTCTGGCTCCTCTCTGGGCAATTTATGGCTCGTACATCTACCAGGTACTAGATTAAATACAGAAAGTTGAATAAGGAGTAAGCAACTGTTTGTCAGTGTCATCTTCATCCTTATCACTTTGAGGCCTACCAGGAACACTTAAGAGTACACGCTGACCTGAACATTTCCTTAACCCAAACATTAAATATCAAAACAAACCACACACTCAAAGTCAGGTTTCCAACCTCCACTACAGCGAAAAATCTTTCTGGCAGTCTAACTCAAGACCATATATCCAGGCTGAAATAAGTCCTGGAAAGGTCCTGAAAATCACTTTCTCCTCACTGTAGGCAGGATGTTAACAGTTGCCAGCAAAACTTTCTAGCAATTCTAGGGGTCTCTGGACTGGAAATTATTCCATTTCATCCAGTTCCACTTCATCCAGTTTTCAGTCAGCACAGGGAGTTTCTGAGCAGGCACAACAGGCTCATTTTGAGCAGATCTTAATAGCTAGACAAAAATAATCACGTCATAAAGCTGAAAAAGTTATAGCATCATCAGCATATATCTACGTGAAGTGTTAAGTGTTCTTTAAGACTGACTGATTTATACAAGCGTAAATCCAAATGCATGTGCTTCCTTTAGGATAGACATAGTGACTGAGGAAGCAACTCCCATGGTTCACATAAGTGAACTTCCACAGTTCACTTATTTCATCAGAACCTGCCTTGAGGAAACATCATTTTCTTCTGCTGTCTCTCCACAACGATAATACTTTCAGAGAAAAGAGGTAAAATTACATGAATTTTAACAATTTACAGACATGGTAATTTATGTGGGTGGGATGCATATCAGCCCTGACAGTACATTTCAAATGTACCCACAGATGCCTGCACAGGGCTTTCCAAACTCCACCTATTCTAACAGTGTAGAGGATGAAGTTCACACCATTTAACTTCAAGTGCCTAAGAACTTAGCACCTAATCCAAAAGCATCATCATTTAGATTCCTGCCATAGGCTATGGAGACAGAGGAGAACAACTAGAGCTTAATTTATCCCATCTAGTATTGCTGGAACAGCACATACAAATCTGAGATCTTCCAAAGACTTCATCTGTCCCCAGTGCCTACAGTGACAGCCTGTATACCTAGCTTAGACTGAATCCCTACATTCTGAACAATTAAAATGAGGTGAGGTGAATTTTGCCCAGAGGACACAGCAGTTTCCTGAACAATAGCTGCAAGTGAACAGAAATCTTAAATTCCTGGCAGGACTTCTGTTCCTGTGTGAATGAGCACTGCTGGCTGCCAGATCACATTGTAAGTACGCTTGGAAGTTGTTATGAGTGCTGCTGTGAATAGAAGGGCTCCACAGCTCCTCTGTATGTACGACATGCAAGAGGGCAACAAACCCAGACAGGAGGGACTCTCAGCTCCCAAGTAAAGGAGGGACCCACCTCTGTCCATGTTGTGCCATTTCAATAGCTCTGCGAGCAGGGACGGGGGAGCCGCCATCTGTCACACTGAGAACCTCCATTGACTTCCTTTCTGGTCGCCGCTTCCCATGCCTGTTCAGCATTGGGGAGTCCACACGCTTCCTGGGGGGATCTTTATGGAAAGAAAACACTGTCAGCTGAATTCGGCTGTGACTTACCTCACACAGGTTGGCTAAATCCTCTCTCAAAGATCTCACTCTCACACTTCCCCTACAGACAGTTATCCTGGAGATGAACATTTGCACTCTCTTCCAAAACGACAAGCATTAAAATGTAAGTTGCAATCCATCTGCAGAGAGGAAGAGTATTACTACTGAATGTATGAGCACTGTAAAATAAAGGTATGACCAAAGCACAGACTGCACAAATTACCTTACAAAGCTGATAACAGTAATAACAAGATAATAGCACGGGCTACAACAGAAGCTATTAGCCGAAGGGTATGCCATCCAGGCATCCTGGATGTGTACTCAGGTTTCTTTAGCTTGCTTTCCATGCCCACGCTAGCTAGATTAAATGTAACGCAGGGACAAAAATACACTCTAAATTCAGACTTGTATTAGTCTCTGAAAACATACTCTTATTTTTGCATCTTCAGTATTAGATTTCAGGTTTTCCCTGTTGTGTTACATATTTCTTCCTTCAGCATTACAAATTAAACATTCTGGACTACCTGAGATAAACCTCCGATGAAAGCTACTGAAATCTATCTCAGAGGTCATCATATTGCTTTTACTGCTGTAGTAACTGAAGTGCTTTATTGTATAACATTTCTATGAGGCATCGAAGTGCTACTTTCACTTTGCTGAGTGAAAACCGAGTTATAAGAATGAGATACTTAAAGGCATTTCATTCCTAAAGGCGCAGACAAACAATTACTGCAGCTCTGAGAAGCACCTAAATTGCTCTGAAAATAGTCTTTAGATACCAAACTGCATGACAGCAACTGGTCCGAGGTGACTTGCCAAACCATACACACCTCTGTGGTGATAAAGGGAACCAAACAGACTTGTTGAGTTCTTTTAATACTAATATATCTAATGGCATCTGAACAGTAAAAAGGAGTAAAGCAGAAAAATAAATAAGGAAAGATTTTCCTTGCTTTGGTTGGACTATTTGAATTGCCTGCTTGTATTTATAGACATCTTTTTAATTTTATCAGAGAGTGACTACCCTTAAGAAAAAGCATCCTTCATCTCTGCAGTTACAAAGAAGCTCACAGCATCCAGCCCCCCTAGGGCTTTTTTCTCTGCCAGGATTCCTTTCTAAAACTCTATCATTACTGCATAGCCAGATTATATTATTTTTATGACTCTGCCCTCCTCAGTCTTGGCCTATTTGCTTGTTTATTCTCTCTCTCACATCATGGTTTTCAGAATTTGATTCCTTCAAGGCAGGGTTTATCCTTGAAACAATGAGCACGAGCAAGTATAGCCCAAGTGCAAATGATACAGTGATAGCAACTGAACCTATTACCATATAATGTAAGTATTATTGGTATTAATAGTAATAATTGTGTTAAAAATGAGTTAGAGAAGAATAACTGTATCTCACTCTGTTTCAAGCTATGTTCAATAATAGAAAAGTGGTAGAAAACACTAGCAAGAAAAACATACAGTGCATAAAGTTACAGGAAAAACACAGTGAGATAAACCTAACAACACAGTTGTGCTGGGAAACTTGAGCTGCACACACACAACCAGTCAAAAGTGACCTGGGACAAGTTCAGACATTTCAAACTCCTGCTCTCCAAACATGTACAAAGAACAAAGGATGATCTATCCTACAGAACAACTATTAAAATGTTTGTTACCTATACAGAGTTAACACAAGATTTACAGAAGGATACCACCAGAGACTATAAAGGAAAGGGGAAAGGATACCACCAGACACTATAAAGGAAAGGGGAAGAGTGCAGCTTAAAAAGAAAGAAGTGGGATGAAGATGACATAGACCAAAGAAGAGCAAGATGAAGAAAGTAAAAAAAAAAAAAAAGGAGATGAGTAAGCTCTGACTGTATCAAGGTTAGTTAATAACAGAGTATAAATAATAAGAAGGAAAATGGCAAGAGAAACAGCATATGAAAAGAAAATTTTTAAGGCAACTTCATCCATGCATGCTCAAAACAAAACACTTTACCAAATGGAAATTTAGCCAAGTGATGCAAAAGTGATGGTTAGGCTAAATACAAAGCAGACAATAGAAACAAGATAAAAAGGAATTGAAGAGGAATGAGCCAAAGATCTGAACAACAGTATTTTGTTGACAGAAAGCTTGAGAGAAGGATAGCAGCCAGAAAGACTATATGGGAATCAGCAGGACAATTAGGAAGGATAAGGATATTGCTAACAAGCTAAATGATACTTTTGTATCAATCTCTGCTGCTCAAGACACTGATTTCCAATCTGTATTTTAAGCTAAGAAAGAGAGGAAATAAGCAAAAGGAGAAGGTGGTGAAGTACCTCAATAAATTCAACAACAGCAATTCAGGGTTTGATGGGTTTGATGGAAAATACATCCAAAAGTTTGTACGAATTTGGTAGAGCTTCTAATAGTGGTACTTGATTCCTCTTTAAAACTGGCTACAAACCTATACTATACATGACTGAAGGCAGCAAGTATTGTACATATTTTTCAAAGGCTTTAAGTAAGAAACCGCAGGGTACCAAGTCTGTCATCACTGTCAAATCTAAGGATACTAAAGCACACAGTCATCCTCTCATAAGGACTGAAGTGGTGGCATATAAGAACAGTTGGAGATTTAGCAGCAGTACAGGAATTAAAAGTAGGAAAATCTTCAGTGCACACACTTCTGTTCTTGAGTCTCTGGAAATGCTTCACAGAGAAACAAAAAAAACCCATTCAAATCCCAGTCTAGATACATGGTAGTTCTGGAGATGTATTTTCCTCTTACTTCATATCACAAAAGTGAAGACATTCTCAAGGATTTTTACAGGGAAAGAGCCTAGGTAAAAATCCAATCCTAAAGCCATTCATTTGAAAGGCATAAAATAAAGGTTCAGTTTGTGAGTTTGGATTATGCATGTCATCCTAACATGGCTATTCTGGCTGAATCTCCTTTACTCTGCTCTATTAAGAATCTCCACGTAAGCCTTTTGCTCAAGGAGACATCAGTTGATGCGTATGTATTTTACTGAGAGATTTCTTATTTCCTTGTTTTCAGTTAAAGAAAACAGAACTGGACTCACAAGACAGTTAGGGTGGCCCTCTTCTGACCCTTTGAGAAAGCTTTACATAGCTGAAGCATACAAAAGAGATATCAGAAGAGAAAGTGCTAGTCTAATGCAGCCAAATCTTTATTTCTACCCACATTCATCCATTCCATGGTCTAATGTGCAAAGAAGGAGGAAAAGGCAAAATAAAATTAGTTGTTTTTTTTTTTTTTTTTTTTTGGCATGAACTCAGGCAATGCACAGTTCTCATGAATGTGGTTTCTTCAAGCTGCTAATATTATATCCATTACCTTTTCCCTGCTCTTCTCTGCTTGTGCAAAGCCATTGCTAATGGCTAACGATGAGATACTCATCAGAAGCATGACTGCTCTTAATTAAAACTTGCCCCATGTTCTCAGAGATACTGCTGTGAACAGAGGAGGTAGAAAGCTCCTGTGGAACACGGAAGACAACTGACAAACACTCAAAGAATAATGTGCAGAGTCTAAAATGTGCCAATGCAGCACACTAATATATTCAGAGTGATGTTTCCCTGATGGAAAACATCATCATCCCTTGTACAAAAAAAAAAAATAAATCCAGGAGTGGGTAATAGCACTTCTGTTCATCACATACTTTGGCGTGTGGAGGAAAGATGTATGTGATGCATTAAAGACACAGCTGTGTATTCAGTTACGTGCTGGATATGAAGACTAGTCACCCTGCTTTTCTTACGACAGAAGCATATACATATTTGAGTTGGAGATTCATGATCTTCATGTGCCTTCCAACCCTGGCCATTATGTGATTCTGTGAAGCACATCTAAGATAAGAGGGTGTCATTACATTGCAGGATAATCTGTGTGAGTCAAAAGCTGATGAGTGAAGTGCAAGATGCCAAATTGCACTGAGCAAGGACTTTTGACTAGATCACCTGTGGCAAGCACATTTATCCCTTTGCCAAGATGCTTGCTGACATGCTCTCTGCAGCTCCATCCAGGTAAGAGTTTAAAAAACTACCAGGCTGACTCAGAATTTCCATTTTATCCCCCTCAGATGAGATCTCTCTGTAAAATTACAGGTCCAGTAGCCTGGAACTTTGATAATGTAATAATTCAGTTGAGTATTAACAAACTTACACTTTAATATATCACTGTCCTGTAGGCTTGGGAGATAAAAGGCTTTTCAGTTAAAGAGCATTTTGGCACTAGCCTTCAAATGAGTGAAATACAAGACCTACAAATCACAACTCTACTATATAAAAATGCTATTTTGGGCCACTGATAGACGTGACTAATGCTTTATTAGTTAAACTTCTGTCAGTATGCACAGCACGAGTCACTTACACTGTTAGCTCCTTAGGGGAGCATTTTTCCAGTTGTCTATCTATATTAATGTAGTCCTTGGTGATCAGCAGTATTTTAAAATACTAACAAAGAACAATTCAGGAATAAAATGGTACCACAGGAGCTTTATAAGATATATATAATCTTACTGCGTGTTAAACTTCTAAAATCCTTTTAAGATAATCTAAAAACATGGCATTATAATGTATGTACTATAAACAGGTAAGTGATATTATTCATTCTTCCAACGGAGGATGTGTACACATAAAACTTTGTAGAAATGTAATGAATGGTATAGTCTTACTAATAGAAGTCCAGAAGCATCTCTGCAACACTGCACATAGATCAGTAATTAGAAAATTCTACCACTAGACTACATTGCTCCTAAACCTCCTCTAATTTCATAAAGGTAGCTTGTGGGTCTGCATTAAATTTTTTAAGACTTCTTGCTCAAGACCAACACGGATGTTTCTGTGCTGAGATGGATATGTCATGAAAAACAAAGCCTTTGAGTTTAATTACAAAAAACATCTGCCCCCCCTTTGGCCACATATTCTCACCAATGGTGTAAACTGTTTCAGGTTTGAGGATATGAGAAGAAAAAGGGCAAAGAAGTACTAGTTGAGATGGGTTCATGGTGACAGAGATCATTTCTCTGGTACCTATTTCATTTCTAGGGGGAAGATCCTCATCTTCATGACTAGGATATCTCTCCTTCCGGTCAAGCAGAAGAAAATAAATCATTTTCTCTTGGTTTTCTCTGAAAAAAACAAAAAGGAAAAAAATCTTTAAATTTGAAGCAGAAAAAAACAGTATGTAAAAAAACCCTTCTTTTCAAGCAGTTACAGTTATTCTAAACAAGCTGGAAATAGCCATGTATCAGCTAGTTAGATGTGCAATTCACAAAGCTTTTGAGAGCCTTGCTGTCTCCAACAGAGAGAAGGAAATACAATTCTCCCATTACACATCTGGAGTAGAGGCACAGGACACATGAGGTAATGTATCCACACAAAGTCCATACCAAGAGCGATAAGAAGACAGATCTCCTGAGCCCTTAAGAGCTCTTTCCACTATATACCCCTCATAGCACACCAGGAAACACACCAACATTCAGGCATAGTTTGAAATAAGTAACAATTTGCCAACAAAGGCATATCCAACACAAATAACAGCACCGATACGTCTCCATTCAGACTGCATGGCCCACCTTTTCATGAAATGACCACATCTGGCAGCATGAGAAGAGACAGCAACACATCTCCACTGACACACAGTGCTAAGAAAGGCCCAGCGACTTCTTGCTTTCTCCCACTTCACTGGCCACTGGGCAGTCAGAGGGCGAGGCATTGATACAGGTCCCTCGTACCCACACACATATCAAAGCCATCTCCACCTTTCCCCAGGACAGCAAGCATCCCAACCCATGGAGACCCAACTGATATGAAGTCTGAACAAGTGCTTACTCTTCTGACAACAAGTCCTGTAAGAGTTTATTTCGGTCACGGAAGCAGCCTAACGAGTGCATGCTATCTAACACGTCTGGATCAATATCCTCCAATGAAGGGAGAGAACGAATCTGCACCTTTCGAGGGATTGGTTGCTCTGGTTCTGGCTCATTCTTACCCCCTCTGCAGAGAGAAGAAGATAACAGAGAGAAATAGGGTAGGGAAAGAAGAAGAGAAAAGAAACATGAGTTACAAATGAACCTGTACTCCGAAACGCAGCCTGCAGCAACAGATGGAAATAGCTTGTTCAATCCCCACTGAGAGACCAGATCTCACAACCAGACAGACACTCTCTTCAGAAGAAACTGCTGTGAAGGCTGAGAGTGATCAGCACCTTGTGGATTTTGGTCTTTTTGTGAGAAATGCCTGCATTCAGTCAGAAAGGCAGTAGGAACCTCACTTACCAGTGCCCTCATAATTTAAGCAGCTGTTCAGCATCCTAATGCCGAACATTTATAAAACACTACATGATTTTAGAGACGCTGTCTCATCAGCCAGACCTCAGGCTATCAGGATGAAAAGTGCAAGCTGAACGATTCCCTTTCAAAGAACAAGCTGTGAACAAACCCTCGTTTCACCAGTTCTGACTACAACAAGCACTGCAGCCATTTCATACTTGGAAACTTCCAATGTGGCTTAAGAGATCTCACTATCAAGGTTCCCATTTGACAGACTTCAAAGGATTTGGGGCAAAATCACGCTTTTTATTTACATGCCAAAATATGACAACGTCTGTTTCTCTTCAAAAAAATTCTGGCCAAGTGTGATGCCTGAGGTCAATGGAGAAGCTAGGAACACACCATTAGTGGCAGAGTATATTACTGAGTATATTACTCTTCTAAAAGTAGTTAACACAGGCTTCCTTCATAATCCTCTCATTCCATTCACCAGAGTCAGGAAATATTGATTATCCATTGCAATTAAAAGCTCTGGCTACAAGAAACAGGTCAAAATGTCAGGATATCTCTAACAGACTGAATAATACATATTTCAGGCACCCCGACCGTCCACTGCTTTTATTCAGCTGGGCAAGGAGCAACTTATGTCAACTCTATCCATCTAAATATTTGAGTTTGTTGTGATGTTCTGTGTGATGTTGAGGTTTACATATTCTTTGGGTGAGGTCCTCCCTTTCTATTACATGGTGTGAATATGTGACAGTTGGGTCCAAGCTCTCAGGGTGGACAACAGAAATTGGGAATAGCTAAACTGCATCAGATGGCAATTTGGACAAAGGACTTCCTTTTAATACTGGCAGAAATAAGGCGAGCATAAATTCTGAACTTACTCACAAGGCTTAAAGTGGTCTAGGCTCAGAAGCAAGCTCTCCAGGTACCTTCAGAAGTAAAGCAGCTCCAATTTAAATGTAACCCTAATTTTTCTTGAGTAGGTCAGAAAGGAAGTAAAGAAATATCATTCGTAAAAGCTCAAGGTCTCAGCCTCTAAAATACAGCTTATGATGCCTCCATGAAATCTCACAGAAGTCTCTACATCTTGAGAAATGATGATATTGTCCTTAAATCTAAGCGCTAAATTGGGAAATCCTGCCCAACCAAAGAAATGTCTTACTCTGTGAGTGCCCTATCTTCAGGAGGTAACTACTCTGACAGCTGGTTATTACTCAGAGTGTGTCAGGATTTAACTCCCAGCAGGTAAAAAGCAAAGACTAGATCATAGCTTTGCACAACTAAAGCCAGTGATGAACCTTGTCATTAAGATAAATTCTTGCAGGACATACCTTTGGACAGCAGCTGAGTGCTTTTGTTTTCTAACGGTATGGAAATCATTTTTAGAAGGAGCTGACTTCATTAATCATTTATTACATTAAAAGCAGAGGTCTTTGGGGTAATTTGGAATATTAAAAAGAAATCACAGCTTTTGAAAATTCGCAGAAAATCCAGGTTTCCTACTAGTTGTCTTAGTCTTTAGCAAGTATCACCTGCAATCATCTTTTATATCCATCAGATTGGGTGCTATTTCTGGAGAGCACAACTCATTATCTTCTGTGCAATGAAAAGTGGCTTTTCCTTATGCCCAGCACCTGGTCAGCCTCAGACATAGGCAGGAATATTCACACCTACTCATCAGGGACAAGAAAAATCTGCAAAGAGGTGCCTTGTCATTTGGCAATGCATTCAGAGCTTCAGGAAATGAAAATCACCAGGTCTGTGCTGTGATTGGCATGCCTGTATTGCCTGTTCCATTCTCAGTCTGGTTCAGAGTGACAAATTTGTTGCATTTCAACCCACACAGACATCAAACAATGTCAACCGATGAATACTGCAAATCACATATATTTTTTAAAGTCTTGCATGAATGTAATTGCTGCTTTAGAACCCTGCCTCTTTTGTGAGGAATGGTGCATACAATGGATGTGATTCCAGAACAGGGCAGACTTTTTCAGTCTGTCCATGAAATTCTCTCATGAATCTCATTGAAATGCACATTTACACAAGAGCAAAGGAAAGCAGCACTGGTACCATTGTTCTTCTGATTTTTGTGAATTTGGTATCTTCACAATTAGGGCAATAAGTCAGTGCTACAGAAGTATGTATTTACTGTAACAGCTAATTTATTTGCCTTCTTGTTTTATTTAAAAAAAAGAAGTGAAAACAGCTGCTGTTTTTTCACTGATTTATGATAACCTGCAATTGAGGTAAAAATAAATGATTTCAATTAAAAAATGGTTTAAAAGCTTCACTGAATTAATTTGGATGAAAGAATAAGAAGTGGAGGTTGGTGATGAAAGGTTTCTCTTTGGTTTCTCCTTTTTTTTTAGGCTTGTGAATCATTACTCCAACTTTCAAGACCTTTCTGTCTGCTGAGACTGCAATTAATTTCTTTCCACAGTTTCACAAAATCCTGAATATTTATTTGAAGAATCAAATGGTATGACTTATCATGTTCTGAGTACAACCTCCAGGTCAGTAGCTTATATACAATGGGTAAAGACTTTACATAGGACAGCAGTTACAAATGAAATAAAGAAAAAATGAAAGATACAACCAAAACAGCCACAGCGACAAACACTTGTAACCACTCCTTCTCTGCCAGCATCAATACTTCCAGGCAAAATGAATGCAAAGAGGCTGTGAAACATTATCAGATGAAAGTAGTGGAGTTTTGAAGGTTCTAGGGTTATTCACAGACTAAATTTAGCCAAAGGTTAACTTCCTTAGGTCAATCCATGGCCAGTAGAGAGAGAATGAGAGAGACTAATTTAAAAAGCTATTTTGAGTAGAAACTCTGCTTTAGGCAATCTGAACACTCTTCTGAAGGAGCCTTTCTCTCTCTTCACTGACTGTACTGGGAGTGCAGGGAGAACTAGCTTTTGCAAAACCCAGTTTATACTTAGAAGAACAGTATTAGATGCCATTTTCATCAAGAAACACATGAAATTGTTTATGTTTATGTCTACAATAAAAAATATCTGCCTAATTGTGCATGTGAGCCTGAGAATACTATATTCTGATCGGTGAAAACCTGCATGTAAAAATCTCAAGGATGGTTAGAGCAATAATAAAAGTAATCAATTATATTTAATTGTATTTCCTATTGTGATTCCATGATTCTATGATTCTATTCCACTTTCAATCATGACACAGAGAAACTGAAGTCAGCTGATTTTACTCCATGAAGAAACAAAGGGGACCAACTGCCTAGCCTGGTATAAACAGATTTTACTTCTGGAATTTCTTGTCAGACTTTACAGGAGAGCTAATTCAGACTTACAACTAGAGAGATCCCCTCCATTTCTCCGGCACTTATCCATGAGAACTACACAAACAAACAAAAGAAAACTTGCAGCAAACAAGACTCAAGTCCTTCTCTGGTTTTGGAAGGTGCCATGTTACTTGGAAACTGTAGAGAATGTGAAAAAGCCACAGGCAGAGTGCTATAACCATTTCAGGTGAACTAAGAAGAAAACATGGTATTCTACAAACTGCTGAATGCCCTGGGGTCCTATTGAAGTCAGTGAAGCCAGCAATTGAACACTGCCCATAAGATAGATTTAGAGAAAACAAAACAAATCAAAACGAAGGTGTTTCTTTTTCCCAGTGACAGGCTTAAATATCAGTTCATATCATCCTCAAATATTTCCCAAGAGCAGCGAGAGGAGGATTATGAAGGTAGGACTTTCCTTATCACCCACCCAGGGAAAGTGTAGGCATGCTGACAACCAGAAGCGTGTATTGAAGTATCATTTCCTTATATCCTCAGGTTAATGAAGTTATCATGAGTATAAACAAAAAATGCTATTTACTTAGGTTTGTTGAAATGCTGTAAGGGATACACAAGAGTGCAAGGTCACTTCTAAAAGCCATCAATCTTCCTTATGCCCAAACCACTCGACAGGTGCATTCTTTTCTCACAGACCTCCTGCTTCACTGTCAAGACTGCTGCTTTTAATCAAGTCACAGAGCTACTCTCACATCAACAGGTTACAAGGTCACAAGCAGCCTCTTAGCTTGCTGTGAAGAAGGAGCAGGGATTTTGAGACAGAAAGTCTCTTGTTCACAGGTGCTTACTTATCAATATAATCACTTTTGTTTCTAATTCAGAGAAAAACCAAGATGCCAAGAAGGAACAAGTGAAAGCTTTCTTGTCAAGATGGTATTACAAGGGATTCTCTGTATCACTTGAAGAGCAAACCAAATATGACTGTTATTTCTTTAAAAACCACAGTCACTTTTAGGTATATTTTTAAAACAGCAAGCTGCTGGACTGAACAACTTATTTCAGACAATTGTTAGTCACTGTAAACAAAATTACTAGCGTGAAGCTACAGAGATGAAAATATACTAGTAGCAAAGGGTAAAAAAACACATTCTTCCTGTTCTCTTCCTCTTTCTCCACTTGTGTGAAATCTGCTCTCAAAATCTATTGTTCTCTCTTCAAACATCCCTGGCATACCAGCTTTCATAACATGATCAATACTGATTGCATGCAAAAGTGAATTTAAAACGTTACTTACATATACCATATGTGTTTCTGAATATGTTCTAGCTGCAAAGAAAAGAAAACAAGAAATTAGCTCTGCAAAACGTAAGAGGAAACTCCATAAGACATCCCCACTCAAGACTTGTCTCTAGTAAGGACCAAGTCTACCATTCCAGACCTGGACCTATGCAAATGAGAGGAACTTCTCACTGCATGAAGACCACACTCATCCTCACCCCACCCCAGTGTACATGAGGCTGTAACTCTGGAAAAGGGAACAAGGCAGGAGCAAATCCCAGGAAAACACATAAGTACAATGCTTCACAGGTAAATGCTTTGGCTATTTGTTTTCCCTTCCTACTTGCTTCAATTCTACAATCCAATTGAAGATAATAAACTGCACCCTCCTATATGTGCATAATGCCTGACTGTTTACACTAAAAGCTCTTTGCTAGCTTTGTTTTGGAAAGAGCAAGAGAAGGAAATAAAAACTGAAATAGGTAGTATGCATGAACAAAACAAAGTGTGTACCTGTGACATGTTCTGCCAAGACTGTGCTTGCTAGGCTTCACATTTGCCATTAAAAAACCTAAAGACCCATTGGAATAAGGTTTAATGTCGAAAAATACTGTTCATAGTTCCAACACCTTGAGTTTAGGTTCAAATTTCTTTTGCTTCCCTCTTTTCTGCTTCACACACAAGCATTTTACTATGTAATGAAGGACTGACCAAAGCAGTAGCTTTGTCCATCTATGAAAAGTAGATGCCAACAAACGTGCTACACGATGACCACATATTTCACAAAGACAGGGGAAAAAAAAAGCAACAGCTTTTTCTGAAATCCCAGACTGTTCAGATTACAGCAGAACAGCAGAATCTTCCCAACCTAGTTATTCTCTGAAGCACTGTCGCAACAGAAAAGCAATTTTTATCAATAGCCAGAGATTATTCATTGTGAGGACGATATTTCTTGCTTTTCCTTTATGAAAAACCTTTGTACACGCAGAGCAATGTGCACGCTCACTGCTAACAGGCTGCTGTTTGTGCAACATGTGAGCAAGAGGCAGTGGAGAGCTGGAAGGAAATTCAAGCTATAAGATGAAACCACTGTCCCATTAAACCGGTCCGAAAGAACGGAGACAGCTGTCCTGCTATTACTTTCCACTTCAATTCCAGAATAATGAGAATCGGGGAGCAAAAGGGGAAAAAAAAACACCCACTACAATAGAGGAATAGACAAACAACAAAATTTCACTGATAGAAAGTAAGTGTTCACTGCAGAGAGGCAGGAATCAGAGGCCTCTGTACTATGGAACAACAGCTCCTTGCCTGGGAGACCCAGAAGATCTCATTTCTGCTTTATATTAGATCATTTTTTAAGTGAGACAGGGCTCATATCAGAAACAAAGAAACAAGGGAATACAAACTAGGAAAGCTTGAAAGAAGGTGAGACCTGTGTCTCCTGACATCATGCGGTTTCCAGACATGGGAACTCTGGTAGTTGAACTAGAAGAGAACATGGGGCCACATCTGTCTTTTTTCTTATTACTGCTCATTCTGGTGTTGCAGTATACAACAGAACCCCAGACTGCAGGCCTCTGACAAAGCAATTCCTTTCATCACAGTCTCCTCCATTAAGAAGTCCTTTCACCCCTGCACTATTAAAAGAAGGGCAGAGTATTCAAGACACACTGGCATTTCCCCTAAGTGGCTTAATTCAAGAAGATAACGTCCATATCTATCTATGTATGTTCTGCTGTCAACCTAGAGATGCACTTTTCTTCCTCTTGGCCTTTGCAAGCTGAGGCACAAACAAATGAGAAGAGCCTATTCTGTATGCCTTTCACAGGGTAGGATTGTAAAATGGTTAGTTATCAGGTGCTTACTACAGCAAGAATCTGTTAAGGAGTGAGCCTCTTTTGCTTTGTAGAACCATTCTGTAAGATCACAGAATCCCAGGCCCTCTGGCTCCCTCTGTCCCAGCCCCTGCTCCAGCAGAAATGCGCAGAGCCGGCTGCCCAGACAGCGTCCCAGGAGGACCCACCCTCACAGCCTCCCTGGGAAATCTGTGCCAGTGCTCCGGCACTGACGCAGCACAGAAGTGCTGCCTGACGGTCAGAGAGAACCTCCTGTGTGTCAGTTTGTGTCCCCTGTCTCTTGTCCTGGCACTGGATACCACTGAAAAGAGACAGAGATGCATCTCTGCTCCTTATTTCCTATACACCACATGGAGGGTTAGAGATGTTAATGATTTCAGACAAGATGCAGATGATACAGCTAAGCGATGTCCAAGTCTCTTTCATGCTTGCTTCTTCTGCTGCATTTTCTGTCTCTGTGGGTCACATTTTTCTTTTTGACTGCAATATGCAGAAAAACAGCACTTCATTCTGTAAGTCAGAGAGGGAAAAAGAAGAGCCACCAGTTCCTGTGTTAGTCACAGACCCCCTGGGCTCCTTCAGAGGAGATGTCAAATAGAAATCCCTTCTGCTCATTCTTGCTGATCAACCTCCTCCGAGCTAACGATCCCACAGCAATTTTCTAAAAGAGAATCCCCCTAGCACTTTGATATATGTTTATTTGAAGGTGTCTGAGAGCTCTCATGTGAGAACACAATGGCTGCTGTTTACCTACAAATCTGCAGTTCCATCCACATCAAAATCATTGCTGTGAAGTACTCAGGGATACCCCAGATATGAATGGTACTCCACAAAACCAATTTCTATTCTGATTCAAATGTAATTGCATTGAAATGTTATTACAAGTGCGTACTTGCTGCTGCCAACATCTTCACTGCTTTTTTAAAGGTAATTAATTAATGCTTTGTTGCTTTTCATCTGCATTAAAGTGACAGGAGGGTTACAGGAGGGCGATTGGTTTTGACAAGGAGAAGTCTGTATGCTTTTTACTATGCAATGCAGGGGAGGCAGATACACAGTGGGAGCTAATCTTACTCCTCCTGCCTTCATTTAAACACAATGTTTAAATGCATATGAGTGACAAAGGCATTTAACAGCCCAGAGTGTTCTGCTTGCTGTTTGTACATGAGTTTGCCAAATTTAGGGCCATTTTATGGAAGTTGTTAAAATGCTGCTTCCTAACATCCCCTAGCCACCGCAGGCAATTGTCTCATGATGTCATCTCTGAAACAACAAAACATGTTTAGCTCCATTGCACATGCACAGTCAGAGGAGAGATTCTGCAAGCTAAAGTGCTGCGATAGAAGGAGTCAGGGAACTCCTTCATAATGGTTTTACACAGAAGTACTTCCTATACATATTAACCTTGATTACTGAAGCAGCATTGAGGACCCATATTCTTAAATCTAGTTTGATGAAAAACTGTACATGCTCATCAGAAAAGGAGGTCTCCTCCCCCAAGCAGCTTACGTCTAAATACTGAGAGGGAACAACAGATGGAGACAGACAGGCAGATGGAAAACAAGACAGTGCCGTCTACATCCTCAGTACTGATCTTAGCAGACTGGTTGCCAAGCTGAAACATTCTGACCTGCAGAAAAACTTCCTCAAAGTCCAAAGGATGAGAGCTTCTGAGCTTGAACTCATGTCAGGTTTCAAACCTCCCTATCCAGAAAACAAACAGTTTCAAGCCCATCCATGCACTAACTCAATCTACATCTCAGATAATTCTTCTTCTGTTAGAAGATTCTCTAGTCTGAGCTTTAAACCTACTATATAATGTCAAGATACAGGCTTTTCCTGACCAAGGCATTCAAGCTGATAGCACCAACAGCAGGAGAACCGTCACTTCCATCAGTAGCAGCAGTCATACTATAGCAGCCTCCAGGGACCTCAACAAGGGCAAGGTATTGCTGTGCTAAGTGCACACTGTAAGAATAGGCCTGTGGTAACCAAAAGCTTACTGCCTATCAAATGGACAACTGCCTCCACTCCACAGGTGGTGAAGTAAAACAGTTTGAATTATGTGATAGGCATCTTACCAAAAGAGCTAGAAAAAAAGAAGGAATCAGGATCATTTTTCCCTCCATCGTTTTTTCTATCGTGCTTTAGAAATTGAGAAGCATTAAAGATAATATCACTATAGCATACAGGAGACTCCAGGAAAAAAAAAAAAAAAGAACAGCGGAGAGGAGACTGAAAATTTGGGTAATTTAACTTGGCTAATATTTCAGCCTTAACATGTATGTGGACATCCAACACAAGTCATTTTATTCTCAAGTAAAATGTCAGCACTGGGAACAATAACAGCTTTATCACAATCCATAGTTTGGAATAGTTTCCATAGATCAGTGCAATAACTGATCTGCCCTGACCCTACTTGTCGTACATACACTCTTGACAACGCTCACTCTTCTTTAACAGGAAAGTGGACCAAAGCTCCTTCCTTCTCCTCTTTGCCTTTCTGTTTCTGTGGAAGAAAGCGTCAGACAACGCAGATGGATTCCACCACAGGAACTGTAATTCTCCACTGCAGAGATGCTGAGTCATTGGAAACCTCAAAGGAAAACACATTCACTTTTCGAAGTACACATAATTGAAAGGAATCATATCCTGCAGTACTGCAAGCACCAAGAGCTCCACTGTCTTCCATAAGCCTTACTAAACCTAAAAGTAGTTCACTTTTCCATCCTGACACTACCTCTGATAGAAAGCTGTCCCCATATCCCATTGACAGGGCTAGAATGCTTCTTCTCATTTCCAGGCTAGTTTCATGTTTTGACATGAAACTACTTGACATACATTTTTTTTTGTGCTAGTATCTTCCTTCCGTTTAAACCTTCTCTCCCTGATAATTACCTCCAGCGCATATGTGGATGACTAGTACATTCTCTCTCAGACATCATGTAGGTAGACTAAGTCAAGTTTTTTTAGGCTGTGCTATTCAGGGAAACTCACTCCAATTCCCACCGCCTCAGCATTCCTCCTTTGCAGTACTGCCAGTTTGATTTAATCTTTACTGAGCATGGGCAGTCAGAAATACCACACCCAGCAGCCAGGGGCTCCTTCTACTGAAAGAAAAATATGGATTCTTTTACCTAAAGCATGCTTAGCTGAACAAGCCTAGTAAAGGGTAGCACTCAGGCACATCTGACTATCCATCCTTCAGACTACTGAGTACACAGTGAGTGTGAACCTTATTCCACTAAGACATAATGAAGTCCTCTTTCTATAAATGACTCATATATAACAAAACATAATGCCAACTTCCTAAGGCAGGAAAGGGCCAGCAACAATACTTCTGAGTGCCCTCTCCTCCAATAATTGTCTCAAGCTCTAACACCGAAGCCTAACGACGACAGTTGAACATGAAAGTTAGATCTGTTTTTGTTGATCATTTTAACAGATGGACTGGGGAAGGTGTGGGTGTACTGTGAAATGGCAACTACTGCAGTGGGGGAAATGCAGTTGGATGAAAAGGAAAAAAGATACACATGAAAAAAAGAAACAAAGCAGAGTAGAGAAGTGAAAAATAGAAGAAAAAGAAATCCTAGTGACCCTATAATCACTATATTTTTCTGTGGAATTCACCAGTAAGATACTGAACAAATGATCAGTACATCGGCCCTTATTGTACCCAAGCCACAATTTTGCTCACATTTTTTATATAAATATCAAATTGATTCAAGTAAGACATTTTCTAGGAATACAGGCTTCCAAATAAACCCATACTTATATCCTCTTTTATTTGCAGGACACAGCTAAAATAAAATTCAGACCTCTCCTTGAAATGAATTACATATTCCTAGATCCTGTGCAGTAAACAAAGAGCTCCATTCTGCCTGGCGCTTTAAGTACCCACAACACTAACAGCATAGAAAGGGAAGTGTGACAGCAGCAGGGACAGCAAACCAAGAGACCCTACAATAATGAAAATAAGATTGCAGCTAGTAACAAAGACCTATTCTTTTTCCTCTCAGCTCTCAGCTCTTACATGCATTTTACTTCAAATTCTTAGTCACAATCCAGTGTTGAGTACTTGTCAATAACAATTCCTCCCTAAGGAAATAAGAGCTTCTTTCTGATCAAGAAAATGGGGGGATCACTATGGGACCTTGATTTACCTTAATGTTTTTCACTCTTGTGCGTGTACAGTCTCTGCTGTACCACACAGCTTTAAATCTTCAGGCAAAGTTAAGAAATTAGAGTGTTCTCTGGCAAAATTAAATCCTAACATTTTGAAGAAGATCTGATGTCTGATGATCCGTGCTCATTGGCATACTCAAGCCATCTGCACTAAGATCTTTGAGAGAAAAATAAGAACATTTCATCTGTTCTGTATTGTGCTGGTTTCCTGAGCAAGAGCAGTAGTCTATGTATCTGGGAGGCAAAAGGCAGCACACTCATCATTCAAGGTCTAATCTATCCACCCACTGTGGCCCCTACCCTCTGTTGCCTTGCTGCTTTGTTCCATCTAGTTTGTGAGGTAAAGCATACTGTTAAATTTACATTATGGAAAAGAAACATACAGAGACTGGCTTAGTGAGTTAGTCATAGAGAACAGCTCTCCGGTCTTAGGACACAGCCCTTGCCTCTGCAGCATTCTGTCCACGAAAATACTTGGAAAAAATAATTGTTTTCATTCTTTTGTTAAAAATCTAATGAAAAAGGGCTTTTAAAGTGTTTCATACTTGGTTTTATATCAGTGCTATTCTTTCACTGCAATGTCACAGCTACTAGGTTTGCAAAGGTAAGGATACCAGTAATACCACGAAGAACTTCTCACCTACATCTCCGAACAGAATATGACCTCGTTTTGTAATGAACAAAATAAAAACCTGGCTGCAGCTCTCAGGTAATACTGTAAAGAGAGCTGTGAAGGGAGTTTAAGTTCACTTTTTAGCAGACAGGTGTCTGCATCCCAAAAGCACCATCACAGCTGGTGAAGACTGATGCTGTTGTTAGCAATCTCAATAGAGAGGCCAAGCACTGATCTGCAAGTTTATTTATAAATATTTTAGCAGACTGAAGAACCAGGAGGAGTTTTAAATTTACATTTCTTTATACATACTCCCACTCAGAATCTGTGAGCTTAGTAGATCTGTATAAAATCATCAGCAGAGCCTGACAATAGGATTTACAAGGGCAATGTACCCATAAAGGCTGAAGCTTCCAGGGACAAGCAGGCAAGCTTGCTTTCCAAAATGATTTTAACTGCTAATTTTTTTTAATTCCCTCAAACATTAACACAGCGTTAATGAAGGATACAATCACTACACAGTGCTCATCCGTGCAGGCTCTCTGTCATAGTGATGGGCTACATCCTAGCTACAAAGATGCAGTGCTGAATGCCTGGAGCTCAGCACTGCGGGCCTAATCATGCTCAGGACCACAGGGCACAACATGAAACAGCAGACTACAAGGCACCTGCTCTGAAGGCTGCTAGAAGATAATGCAGAGCACACATAGGGCAGAATACAATGCAGCTGTGTGGCTTGAAGTGAGAAGTCACACTTTTGTCAGAAATGAAAAAGGAGCGTACTGTGTTTGACCTTCAAGCAATTACATCACGTCCCTGATAAACTGGCACAGCCACCAGGAGAGCCAGACTGCCCAGGCAGATTCCAAAATGTGCTAATGGGTCAGTAGCACTGTGATCAGATTATGAAGGAGTCATTCTAAATACCCGCTGCAGCACATGAGGAAGAATTATGAAGATAGAGAAGCATCATAAAGGCAATCTGGACCCATCATTTAAAAGGGAAGGTGAGTAACCTCTTCCCAAAACTCCACCAACTTCACTCATACTTTGCTCAGGAGGAAATGCACAGAAACGGCAGTAAACCAAGTTACCTTAGTTAGTCAAGTGTAACTGCAATGAGGTGACAAACAAAGCCTTGAGCACGTGACTTACAGCAAATGCTTCCTTACCGTGAGACGTTTCGAGGCATCCACTTCAATCATCCCCCGCAAGAGGTTCTGACAGTCCGGAGGGATAAAGTGTGGCATGTGGAACACTCCACGTTTCACCTTCTCCAACAGCTGCCGCAAGTTGTCGTCATCGAATGGCAGGGCACCCTGTGGGGATGTGACGGATTTGTGGATGGGAGAGAGCAGGGAAAGGGAGTTGGAGAGAGCAAAAGGAGAAAACCAGGATAAACACAATGAGAGAAAGGAAAAGAGAATGTCAGCTCGTAATTAAGTATTATAATAAGTGAAACAATCTTTTCATCCACTGAAAATAAATAATTTCTTAGTGCTGCTGTATTTTCTCCAACATAAGGAAAAAGCAGAGGATATACAGGTTTTTTTATTAAAGCTTTAATTAGAAAATGACTACCAGTATAAAGCATAATACATAATATGAAATTGCCTTTCCAGGCAAATTCAGCAAAGACGCATGTATTCAGTTAAATTCAGCTCAAGCTTTTGATCTGCTGGTGTTCCTCCTGGGCATACTTTCACTGCAGCAATGTTTATCCTTTCCTTACTTTTAATCTTCCTGAGACACATTTATTGCAGACATTGGAAAAGAGGTGAACAGCATTTTAGTGACTTTCAGTAAAGAATATCCTCTTTCTGATGGAGCAGTGGAATGACACAGCTGAAAAAAGCCCTAACCAACATCAGCCCTCTGGAAGCAGCAGACGTTCTGCCTGGTTAACATACTCCATCCAGTTCCCATGCTGCAGTCAGGTCATCAGTTCCTACTGCTTCCCCACTGCAGCTCACTTACGTGAATAGCCTGAGCTTTTTTAAGATCAAATTTCAATTTGAATAGATCATCAGCTGGCCACAAAAAGCAGCAAAAAGCCTATCCTTGCTGCAAAGACAAAAAGGAAGAGAGTAGAAATCTTTAGGATAACTCCACTTTTATAGCAAGTATGCACCTTCCATGATATTCTCACTTCGCTCTTTCACTATGTGCTGAGCTTCCTTGGCTTCCAGGAGAGGTTGTGGGAAGTTGCAAGCTGTCAGCTGCCGTGATAATGAAGCTTTCAGTTGTTAGTGCTGGCACTGTTCTTACTACAGTGAGTACTGCATCTGTATAAGCAGGCCTGTGTCCACAGTTTGCTGAGACCAACAGCTTAATTTACAGAAGCCTTGGAAAATCTACCTGATGGCAACAACTACTGGATGCTATTTACTGTTGTTCATTCAAGCAGCCATGAAGAAAGAGCCTCCCTGTCTTTCACAACCAACCTCTTGAGTTACCTACTTTTTTCCTTACAGTTCCAGACTTATGGGAAAATCAATTCTGATAGTTCAGTACTTTGGCTAACACAATTTAATCCACAATGAAGTCAGTAAGGCTGCTTTGTGGCATTTCCTGAAGGTAACAACTACAGATCTTTTATTACCACCACCTGTTATTAGAGCTTGAGAATTTTTGCAGAGTTTTTCCTGACATGATTAACTGGACAGCTCTGCACTCTCTGTCAATAATAGACTCATTTCAGTCATTTTGCAGGCTTGTGTATATATGTAGAAACAGACGAAGATGCTTCCCAGCAACAGAGGGACACCAAATCTAGACATAGAAGCCATCTTCAAACAAGAGTCCACACCTACATTTCCCAATCACCTTGCCAACCTCTCTTGCCTTTTCTTACAAACTCAAGATGTCGCAGCAGGAACTCATTTTGTAACTACTTTATCACCCATGCAAATAGTTGGTTAGGAGCAAGAGATTCCAGGTGCTACTTGGTGAGATGGGTAAAACTCTTCCCGTGCAGCATCCAGATAAAAAAATATCTAAAATTTTAAAATGTCAATAAACTATAATAACTAAAAATAATAAAACTGGTTAAGGAGAATTAAAGCATCATACTCAGAATATTACAAGATACGTGAATTCTAACCACTAAAACAATTATCAGTGAATTTTTTGGAAAAAAATATACTTTATAATAAGTATAAGAAGTACTTTAAGCCAAAATTATGAACAGAATCTAACTCCAACTGAGTTTTAGTCTCAGTGAACCAGTGCTTCTATCAAAATAAAACATTTAAGTGAAGAATTAGTAACTGAAAACACTAATAAAAGGACATCAATACTTAGCTTCAGGCTTCTTGTTTTTAAAATTGTAGACCATCACTTAAACTATTACAAATATAAAATACTTAATGTGCATTAAATCTGTTCTCATATAAGCCATTAATTCTGTGCATAGTAACATCATGCTTATGTAAGCATATATCTGTATATTCCTACACTGTACCATGGGAATTGATAACAAATGCCAAACCTATTTGCTTTGAGCTGGACATCCAATTATTGTATATTTGGGAATGTTACATTATACTGTAAATCAGAATAAATTCCACAGAGAATTGAAACTTTGATCAAAAGAAGGATAAGTTACAAGATACTGCATTTTGAATACTAAGAAAAGTACTCCAAGTGAGCCAGATGGAAAGTAATTTATACTTCATACTGTTGGCTCAGTTTTATGTTCTCTAGTGAACTAAATTAAAATATAGCCCAATACTTGCATGAAACAAAATTGTTGCACTCAAATCTTCTCTTGATAAAAGCCTGCAGTTAACGTATGCATATACCTAATGAAATGTACATATACATACAGCAGAAAAAAAACAAACACTTGCAGAAACCTGCCATGTTTAATCCTGTGAAGGGCAACAATTTCTGTGTCTTGGAGTGGCACACCCGTTTGGATCAAAAAATTCAGCGTGCTTCAAATGGGGCTCCTTAAAGTGCTGCAGCACTACAACACAGCAAATGATATTTATGGAGGCAAGTCTTTGACACTTGTCTATGTTCTCATGTACAGGACAGCTGCATTTCAAAGCAGCAGTGAAATATTCTTCATGCTTTTCCTCTGGGACTGATGCAGGACTAAGAGGAAAGGATGCAGTTGAGAGATACAAAAATAGGAGAACGAAAAAAAAACCCTATCTGTACATGATGTCAGTAGAATCACCATTAAATACAGCAGCATTTGTGAATATTTCTTTTTTTTTTTTTAATAAAAAAATATATATAGAGCAAGGAAGATGACTCACCACTAGCAACGCAAATAAGATGACTCCACAGCTCCAGACGTCTGCTTTCCTTCCATCATACTTTTCTCCCTGTGCAGCAATGACATAGAGACTCAAAAATGTGCTCACTAGTAAATGAATTTATTATTCTCGAAGAACAAGAGTGGGGAGAATGGGTAACCACACATTTTGATTCTGCCACCTGCTTCCCAAGGTGGCCTTTCCAACCAGGAGGCCAAGACGCAGCCCATTAATTTTTATTTTTTTTTTTATGAACAGCAGTTTACAGTTATCTAGGTTCTATGAGAACAGGGTGAGAAGAAGGAAACAGCACGAATGGCTGAGGACTGGAAATTTTTTAGTACTGATCCTGAAACAGATGCAGAGGTGTACTAAGGGCATCAAGAATTTGCTTTTCTCCTTCCTAGCTCTTCAGGGAGCTTGTCATCAGTCACATTATTTGTGAACTCATAGTATTGGCTTGACAGTGTCTTTTGTGTGCATGTTTGGCTTTACATTAGTGATATGCTTCAAAAGGGCAATATGCTCCTCTTGTAAGACCCCGCTTGCATTCAGCTCTCAGGTCCCCAACCTAAGGAGGACACAGACCTGTTAGAGTGGCTCCAGAGGAGGCCAGAAGGATGAACAGAGGGCTGGAGCACCTCTCTACAAAGACAGGCTGAGAGAGTTCTTCAACCTGGAGGTGAGACCTCACTGCAGCCTTTCACTACCAAAAGGGAGTTTACAGGAAAGCTGAAGAGCAACTTTTCCAGGGAGTTTTATAGAACAAGGGATAATGGTAGATTTATCTTAGATATAAGGAAGAATTTTTTTTATTTAAGGGTGGTGAGGCAGTGGAACAGATTACTCAGAGAAGATGTGGATGCCCCCTCCCTAGAAGTGTTCAAACTCAGGTTGGATGGAGTTTCAGCAACCTGGTCTAGTGGGAATGTCACTGTCCATGGCAAGGGAGTTGGAAATTGATGATCTTTAAGATCCCTTCCAACCCAAACAATCAGAAAAATATAAAATAATAAAAAAGAACATCCAAAAAAAAGGGGGGAAACTTGGCCACTGTAATATTCAATACTTATTTTATGAAGACAAAAGGAATGGAAGGGGGGAAAGGATAGCTCCTATCATTTAAAAGAATCCAGTGTCACTGACAGCCAACTCCAGTTCTTCTGCTGAAATAGCTACAATGGGGAAGAAAAGGCATAGGTGTATAGAGTGGAAAGACCAAGTTAAATGAGGCTACTGCTTTTCTGTCTGATAACATGGGACAAAAGTACTGTGAGAACAACACAGGATTATTTCCCTCAGATGGCTGATGTGGCTTGATTCAGGGCTGAACCAACCAACCAAAGTCACAGTATGTTTATTCTCTCCTTTCGCTGTCTGTCTTGGACAGACCTCCTGTAAGAGGGTCTGTCTGCACACATACAATTAGTGACACTTTGAAGAAAACATACATTGATTTTAATCAACTTACCCGGATAACTTCAGGGCAGGCGTAATGCGGTGATCTGTAACACAAAATAGTGAGATGAGCATGTATTTATGAACTATCTGCATTTCCACTTTGCTTACCAGAATCAGGATTGGCTTACTTACACAGAAAGCAAGTTTGCAAAAACAGCCCTTTTTATTACTGTAATGAGAATATATTTCTCAGACAAACCCAGAAATGGTCAACAACTAGCATAATTCAAAATTCAATGGCCCTAATATGAATTTCCTGAAAGGAATGAAAGAGCAGGCATATTTCGTGATTACATAAAATTCCAGCCCTCTAACTCTTTACTTTCACTTGGCCATATATATAACTGGAAGGAAGACACACACTGCAAGGTCTTTTAGGGGAAAGAAAATTAAATGTTTTCAGAGCCAATGCATGTATCTCCAAACCATATCTTGCACCTCTTCACCTCTTCTGCTAAGAGTGCTCTCAATTACTCCAGCAGTCATAAAAGCTGCCAGTACATGATTTGAACAAGCAATTTATTTTTCTTAGAAAAAAAAAAAAGCAACAGCAAAACACCACATAAAAAGGATGGACAACAGCACTGTTACCTTTTGAGCTAATATATTCTCTTCACATCCTTCCACCCATCTATCTCTTCCTTGATTCTTGGCTGAGAATAGTTAATTACTTCCACTTGCCAGGTAATAATTTTAATTCCTAAAGATTATAGCCATGGCTATTTATTTTTATAGCCCTCATTAAAGTAACTTGACAAGTAAAAGGGATGCAAACTGTCTGAGACCTGTGTGCAAATCTCACTATTGTTTATACTGACACCTCCCAGCAGTCCCTGAGCCTGTCTTCATTTGTGCATTTGTTTCTTGTGACAAACACAATCATGGTTGGGCAATACCTGTCTCACAAAGTAATGAGCAAAACAGAAGCACAGTGAGGTTAGCTTTGTGCTAGGATTCTACTTTAATGCCCAGTGAGACAGTCCATTAATTACCTTTCCATACACATTACACTTATGGTAAAATATCATCCTGAGCGCATGGCACATCTGATTTGCTATCACAGCTTTTGGCAGACTGTGATAATATACTTGGAGTACAACTAGAACTGCAGCTACCTTGAATACAAAGCTTAAGCAAGGAGAAATAGAATATAACTGATCCCTCACAAACTTTGGGGAAGGTGGGACTTGGAAGGTTAGCATACTATCTAATAGCACTTCTTCTTTAAGAGGCTAACACAGGTATTATGACCAACCCTATGCATTCAGTAATTCAGCAATCTAGACCTGATTTTATAAACCTTGAAAGGTCTATCAAGACAAGAAATGTCTTGCCTTGGAGAGCTGGATAGAGTTCACCTTTGGATGCTCTGGGAGGTGAGAAAGTACTTGAACCCAGTGGGGAGGACAGACCCACTGGGCTCTTTTGGCAGCTCTGTCTTTGGCAGCCCCACATGAGTTATTAAAATTTGCTGCTGGCCACAACTGGTTGACCAAAACCTCATCATAAGTCTGCTGCTCTGACTAAAACGAGAGCAACACCACTGCTGCTTTCCTACCTCCCAGAAATTTGCAACTCCAACAAAGACAGATTTCAGAATTCATAATTGCAAATGCTGAGGTATACAACCATCTTGCAAATATCTTTGAAAAGAGGAATGCAAGTATTGTGAAGATGATGAGATGGGTAAATATCCAGTTAGGAATCTAAATACACTTAAAGCATTTTACTCCCCTGATGTCTGTTGAGTGTGGAGTCTGCAGTGGAGGCTGCAAGGTGTGTTTCAAGACACTGGTGAAATTCTGCTAAAACCTAACAGAATGGGCGGAGAAAATGTTACAATAAATAATTTCAACAAGTTGAATTGATTCAATCATTCAACAGCTGCACTGCAACTGCCCAGAGAGCTCAGATTTCTGGCATAGCCACTCTGAATTCTTGCCAGCACACACTATCAGGATATCTGCAGCATTGTCTTGGCAAACAGCTCTAAACAGGTTCCTCTGGCCAGCCAGAAATCTGTAGAAAACTCATTTCCATGCTGCCAATCACAAAGGACCTTCAACTGCTTGAAAGAAAAAGCTAAAATTTAATAAAAAATCTATTTATCTTTCTATAGAGTCCTGAGTATTTCTTTGGCTCTTATCAATAATTATTCAATATTCAGTATATTCCCTCCTTCTTCCCCTAGGCCATTTCCTCATCTTTCAGCTACATCTCTGTGCAGCAAAAGCCACAGTTTGCCCTTGATAATAAATAAGTATACAGCTCAGCAAGATAAAGAAGCAGCTGCTGCCTCTGGGTACTGCTGCAAAAAAGTCCCAGTGTTGGCAGTGTTTATTTCAAGGCTAGTCTGCCTGGGGCAGGAAGGGCTCTCTGAACGCTCATTCACAGCTGTAACTCTTGGACACAGGAATCTTAACAGATCTTGCAGGCCCTTAGCAAAGCATTTACATGGGGACTTCGACCAGAGAAAATAATCCAAAGTGAAATGGTGAAAACCAATACAAGTCCAGACAGGGGTTATGTAATCAGTAAGATGCATCAAAGATGAATCTCCATGAATCTCATCTGAAAAACTAGACAAGTAGGTTTTGATCTTGACACATTGATACAGTAAAGCTAGAGCACATTTGAGACAACCAGTGCTGTATCTCCAGTGCAGATGTGATGTGCCTCTGATTTGCGCAAGCAGTTCTGACCTCCTGTCTCAGTACATAGGTAAGAGAGATCTGCACAGTACACAGATAAACCTACTGCCTGTGTATGGTTTATGCAACAACCGCTTTTCCAGAGAAGGTTGATGAGGGAGAAGGGGGAGAGCTGTAGTGTACAATCCTGCTCTATAATGTGACAAATCATGTACTGCACTTTCTGACAGGTCCCTTTAAAGACGAATCTCCATGCTCGTGTACTTTGGATCCATGCCTTAGGAAGATACTACTTGGGGAAGAAGAAATGTTTCTCTTTACACCTCACAGCTGGAGGCAGTATTTCTGTAGAGAGGGAGGAAGAAGTCTTGTTCTCTCTTTGCTTAAAGATATTTTTATATAGGAGATGCACTGAAACCCTCTTGTGTTGGCTGTTTTTGGTGTTGCTCGGATGCTTTCCCCAAGTTAACTGATATCTCTTAGCTGGCTTTTGGAGACAGAAGCTACCCACTAGAGCAAAAGAATGCCTACGTGGAACACTGTGCTGGGCAGCAAAGGGCTGAGATGAAGGGGAACGTGAGAGGAGAAGTAAAATAGAGAAAGGGAATTCCTCACAAGAAGGATGCATGTTAGAGCATCCTGTGGGGAAAGTGACAGCCACAGATCACATAGCAAAGTAATGCAGGGAGAGACTGAAGAAATAGTCTGAGGAGCAGCGGGTAGTGCAGGCTGTACTGAAGGCAGTAACTGCAGGTAGGGCTGTAATTAAAGTAGTAGCTGTAGTTAAGGTTGAGTGCTATTTTGCAATTAAAGCTTCAGTTCTATTTAGCGCTATATGAGAAAACCCAGCATCTAGCCCTCAGCCATCTTACAGCTGTTTACTCCTCAAGCACAAATAGACTTTCTGTGAATTTGCAAATCAGTTCATTAATTAATATATGAGTTAAAATGATTAAGACATAGATCCTTCAAGAGATCTTAATTTAAAAACTGAAACAGACCCCTATATTAAGAGTGTAAAGAATACAGAGTGCAGTACTCAAAAGCAAAGCCCAAACAGGCTATGCTGTGCTCTGTAGATAAGTGAGCATGAGGCAGTGGGTCTGCTGCTGTCTACAATGCCTCTGGTTTACTTTTGCAGAAACTGGAAAGCCAGTGGTCAAGTGAGGGAAGTGTGGTGCTACGAAGGACAACGTTGTGATGAGGCAGCTGGTTGACATACTGAAGAATCAAGCTCTCTGTGCCTGCAACAGAGTCCTTCTGTGAATGCGAATGAAAAGGTGCTTTAAAAGGAGATGTTCACAGCTAATTGCAAGCTGCAGGTTCCCTTGTTTTTGATGTAGTTAATATTTGTAAGCTTAAAATACTTTGATGAAAATCCTACCTAGCGTCCACAGCAAGGCTCGGATGTGGCGAGATGAAATTTCAAATGGATCCATAAAAAAGGATGAAAATAAATTAAACAGATGCTTATTCAAAAAACCTCACACCATAAAAATACCAAATGAGACAAAGTTTTGGTAGAAAAATACCTGTATAAGCTCGTAATTAATGAACTTATCCCAGTGTACATGAATATTTTGGGACCAAGTTAATTTTATACTTATAATCTAAAAAGTAGCATATCTTAAATTTTCAGCACTTAATTTTGCAGACTTAAAGTTCTTTTAATGTATCTTGAAATGTATTACAGGTAAGGCTTATATTAGCACTTATTAATAAGGCTGTCTGATATTTCCCTTCATAATCCTCATTTCAAACTGCTTATCACTTACTACCAATTTAATAACTCAGAGATTTTCTTTTCTGTTTGTCTGCTTTAGACTGGTTTCATCTTTGTGCCCACTATTAAAATCTTACTTAAATTAAACATGCTTTTGCCATAAAAAGTGAAAATTTCTAGCATACTTAAATGTGAAAAGAAAATGTGATGATTTATTCAGATTTTCTGGAAAAATGTATTCAAACATAACCACTAGAATCAGGGAAGATTGTATTTACTAACGGAAATTCTCTAGAGAATCAGGATGAAAATTCAACCTGCGTTGGCAATGCTTCACAGATTTTTTTTTTCCTAAAACTGATAGAACAAGCTATTGTGACTGAGGTCGTCACAAAGTACCAAACTTTAAAATGCAGAACCTCTTCTGAGTGCACAAATAACAGGAGTTAGATCTGAGACTGAGAGCTGGGAAAACCAGGTAGGGGAAATCAGAGTTGGAATATAGTGAAAAAGAGAAAAGAATCTGGGACATGGGACCAAATGTGAAGCAGAAATGAGTGGGAGAAGTTGGTAAGACTGGAGTGCAGAGGAGAACAGGGAAAGAGATGGAAACAGAGTGCAATGGAAACTCCTGGAGAGATGGGATAAAAATTATGAATTCTGGCATTTTCTAATTTTAAGAGCCTAAATTTGCAACACTAACAATATCTGGACCTGGACATTTGCGTATGTTGTAGATAACATGCACACATTTGTATACAAAACCGTATAGAAGAGAAAGAATATGTGCAGCATCATGTCCTGACATTAAATTAGAAATGGTGCTTGGATACTGAGGTGTACAGCAACTGAGTTGCTCTATTCTGAATTATCTCATCGCAGATAGATCGAATACAAAGGTAAGCAAATTAGGACCTAGATGATATCTGTCAGCATTTCTAACAAACACACACTGTATTGGGTGTTACAGATATCCTGAGCTCAAAAAGAGACAGCAATTAATTCTAATGAGTATCACAGAATCACAGAATTGATGAAAATGTTTTGTTTTTTGTTTTTGTTTTCTTTTTTCTGATGTATATGGGCTGGTGGGTCTGCGAAGTATACCCAGCATATGCTAGAGGAAGCTGAGAGCAGAGGTATGGACTGTGCTGGGCTTGGCAGTTGCTTTTTCCTTCATTTATGCCACCAGCATGCACAATGGCTTTCTTCTCAATAAAATTAGAGGACATAAACAACATTGTTCTTCCCACATGCACAGATTTCTGGATTTCTCCAGGGGTTCCCGACAGAGAAGCTGATAGGGGAGAGCTGCTGCATATACAGTCAGTTAATTGTGGGCCTGTACTGATTGCCTTTTTGGGAATAGTGTCTGGTTGGCTTGGTCTCAGCTTGTGGTTGCTTGCGATCAAGAGGTTTAGAGGCAGCACAGAAAGCAGCACTGCCATGGGATTCTCCACCACCTGGTGGCCTGCAGCAATCTCCTTCCTGAGGGACACGGTGTCGTTTCACAGTAAGTGAAATGGAGAGAACTGCAGAGATGGCAAAAATGTACTTTGTCAGCTTTCTATAAGGAGCAACGGGGAATTAGGAAGGATCATCACAGATTCCCAAGAATTGTAACTCAACAGTATTCCCTATCAATTCTTCTATTTGAGAGCTCTTTTCATTCAAGAAAAGAGAAAAAAGTTCCTACTTTCTACTTTTCCAAGACTCTTATAGATATAATTTCAGATTATGTTCAGAGCAACTTGGGCTTTACAATGACTTGCTAAGATTGAGAACTGAAGCACAGAGGGGTAATGTGACTTGTCTAAGACTACCATGAATGCCCACAGCAGAGGCAGAAATCAAGCTCAGATCATTTATGTTCAGAGATTTTACCAAAAGAAACTCATTTTTCTTGCCTAGAGACAAGTAGGAGGGATTGCTCAGTATCTAACATTCTGAAGCACTGCAAGGCAGTGTGCTGGGAAGAATCACTGTTGAAAGAGATGAGGGATTGTCTCTGCATGTCATCGCTTGGAAGGGTAAAGAGGAGGGAGAGCCAAAGAGATCTGAACTAATAGAAGCAGCATCCTACCACATCCTCCGCTTCCTTCGTTGTCTGCTGTTTGCTCACAGAACTCCCCTGCTCCTGGAGAGATGCAAAGATTTGTTGGGTTACTTTAGCATTTCAGGGACTCTCTCTCCACAGACTGCCTTATCGTACAGTTTCTGCAGTTAGCGGAATTATTCCCACAGCTCCTCTTTCCCTCAAAGGTCTAAAGATACCTGCTTAAATCCATGGCACACTGTTCTGCATATGTGTATATACGCAGGATTTGTGCAATACAGGCTTTCAGTAATGGGGATATTAATTACAACCAAGGCCGGAATGCAGTCTGGCATTGACAAATGATGTCAAAGGAACAGCTCATCCTTACCTCCCTCCCCTACACAAACACGACTGGGCTGAACTTTTATCATTTCCTCCAGGTAGCCATCAGCACTACAGAAAATCATGCTGATCTAAGGGGTAGCTCCCATCAGACACTGACTCTGAGGTGTGCAACAAAACACATGAACAGTTTTGTGAGGCCAGTCAAGGCTCTCTGGTCAAATTTTGGACTATGCTTAGTAGTTCACTTGTGACAGCAAAGGCTGCACTCTAACAGCTCTGCTGTACTGACAAAGTTCGTTGTATCATGCTGCTAAACCCCATCTCATCCTCCCACTCTGACTGACAGAAATACCTGGAGACTCCTTGTGTGGCTGTCAATGGAAACATTACAGTTTCATCTCGTTATCAATCTTCACAGCACAGAGAAAGCCATTCTGAAAATTAACTTCTGGGTGCATGGAAGAACATCTCATTAAAGTTTCATATCTGAGCCGTGACTCGGTCTGTTTTGTTCCTTTTCATGCTGGCTGAAAGTACCAACTACAAGGGGGAGGTAAAATTGTTGCCTTGAAGAGCTCTGAGGTTGGTTAGTGGGCTCTGAGGTTGCTCCTAGGGAAAGAGTCACAACCGGATTGCCTTTCTTTGTGAACTTTGTGGCACACTGTTATATATTCCTTCCTACCTTCTTTCCTTCCTTCCCTCCTTTCTCTTTTTACTACCCAAACCAGATAGATCACAAGACACCAGTACCAGCCATGCTGGGCTCCATGCCAGGAGAATTAATGAAGTGGTGTAATAGCTCACATGGCGGCCTAGTGATTGGCACCATACTTAAAATACATCTGCAAGGCAGGAGATCATAGCATTGCTGCTGTGTTCTGTTTATTACAGGCATGTCTCTTTCGTTCCATTGATTTCTTTATTAGCACATTTTAAGGCTGCAATAGTAGGGTTGGCTCTGCTTGAAACATGGACGCCTGAATTCCAGCACTGCTTATGCACAGGAAATCTCCCTTTGAGACTCTAGACCTGGATGACACAGACTGCTTCTAACATGAACAGGGAGCCTACCAAGAGGTTCCTAAGGAGTTTGAAAAATCCTTCAGGGTGATGTGAGATTGAGTTGGTTTTTATACTTTTTGTTGTTCTGTTTTACACAGAATGGAGGGAGAAAATTTTCTGCAGAGAGCAGAGATCCTTTGTGATAACTGCAGTGAAGACTTTGTTTCTTAGTCTACAGGGGAGGTTTGAAAGCAGCTGCAAGCAGCAGATGTGCAGACTCACGGCTCCTTGTTTCTCATCTGTGCTGGTAAGAGGTCAAATCTTGACACAGACAAGAAAGGAACGGGTGCATCTCAGTATAGTCATCAACCACCATTCAATCACATCATCAGCTTCAAACAATTTTGCAATTTATTATTAAAAACTTGGAATGCAAAGCTGTGCAGCTCAGGACTGAGAGGCAGTAGATGTGGCATAAAGGGAGCTGGTATGGCTCCATGTCCACTCTGAATTGTCTCGCCTCAGGGCACAGAATGAAAAGACTGCAGTCCACTGAATGGACTGTAGCAGCCTGAGGACTGAGATGAGCTGCAGTTGAAAGATTTTTCACTGCCAAAGGCCAGGAAGAGTAAGTGTGTATGGGAGGAGACACAGAACTGCTGGTACTTTCTGCAACTCCAGCTGCTGAGCTTGCTGTTGTAACAAATTGATACACAGCTAAAAGCTGGCATAGCGGTGCCAGGCTGCAGCAGCTCGATGCAGCTGCTGCCCTTGCCACAGCTCACTGCAGCAGCACACTGCAGTCAACACAGCACAGTGTCATGGCTTTGGGGGACCATGGTGCCTGTGGTATCCCTAGAGATAATAGTGATCAGAGGGTATTGCTCCTGAAATGCTCATCCTGCCCTAGTCAGGCACCAGGTCTTCACTCAGCTGTTGGGCTTATTGCTGGCTCCTTTGGAAATTCCTGGAAAGCTCCTGCTGGCAACTGAATTAACATGGAAATGTTTTTATTGTCCCTGTGATATTCCTCCAAGCAGTCTCTTTTGTATCTGTGTTCATGCCCTGCCTGTAATTGCAAAGGACCCTCTGCTGCCTCCCTATCAATTCCGGATGTGAGCCGAAATGAAGCAGAGTGAAGCATAAACAGAAAGAGCTGCAAGCAGGCAGCCTGAACAGAACACACAAATTCCATTTCAGACGCCATAGATTCCCTTATTTTCTCATCTCCTAATATTTTAAAGCCTATTCATAAAACAGGTTTCACCACTGCTTTCATTTTCCAAATATCACACGTCCAGTGAAAGCAAACACAAGCCAGCCTAGGCAGATGAGTCCAAACCTGAAAGCCTTGGTATTTCTATCCATATGTGACATCTACAAAGGCCTGCTTTTCATTGCAAAGCACTTTAAAAAAAACTTATTTTAGCTATTTTATGCACTGTATACATTTTTAAAATTTACTAACTTGCTAGGAAATAAGGATGCACAAGTCTGCTCAAACCCCCTGCTACTGACATTTTCTATGTCTGAAATCTGTCACTGACTATTTGCAATATGCTGAGACACTCACCCACAACTGGTTTCTAACAAGCTGTCCCCAACTTGCAGCGATGCCATTCCGAAGTCTGCTATCCGGATATTGTTCTTTTCATCCAGCAGTAGGTTTTCTGGTTTTAAGTCCCTGTGGCTGTAAAGAAAAGATCAAAATGCAAGTTAAATTATCCACAACAGCTTTCCCATTCCGAGGCCTGTATTTTTTTTAATCCAGCATAGCATCCAACCTATTACATTTTAATTGATGTCATTCTTTCTCTCTTCCAGATTAGGAGACCACACACCCCTAAAATCCGGCCTGTGCAGCACTCTAGCCCACCCCCAAATGATGGGATGCCCACTCCTGATGTTTGAGCCTTCACTGTCCATATAGAAAATGAATAATATCAACACAATCTGAGGGGGAGACTGAGGGAAATTGGCAGGAGGAAATTTTCGGTTTAGATTTAGGGCTGACATACTCCATCAAATGCCAGCTTCTTAAGGCAAGAGTGGATGCCATCAGTGTATTTCTTTAACAGTAAATAGTATTAGTGAAGTCTTGGGGGAAAAAAAACAAATGAACAAATGTATTCGGTGCAAACACTACAGCAAAAAGCTCCTATTAAGGGTCATTTACATAAGCATTTGAAAACATTTTGGGCAGCTAGCTCCAATAGAAAAGCCTTGAACCCAGCACTGCTTTTAATTGAGAGCATTAGCAACAGGAAAGAAGGATTCCATTCCCTTCCTTCCAGCAAAGCTCAGTTCTTTTATTATTTGGCAATGTGGGAATGAGCAGGCAGTCACGACCTTGAGGACAGTAACTCCTATTTTAAATCAAAGAAAATGTATACTGACTAATTTACTCATTTTCATTACCTGCAGACAGCAACACTATGCACATCCATCTATTTCTCAGTACTCAAGTACTTCTGTACAACTGTTAGATCTACTTGATTTTATACCCCAAACCAAAAACCCTGTACTAAAATTGAGATGACTTTTTTGCCTTTTTATTTGCAGCTCTTGAAGAGCTACAGAGATGAGAGAAGGATTCTAGGCAGGCTGAAGAAGCTCTCTTCACTTGTCTTTACTTATAAGAAGGCAAAGTGTGTATCTTTGATGTCCTGCTGATAAAAGCTGCAACCCTGAGAAAAAATCTTCAAGGCAGAACAGTCAGTTCAGGTGCCCTGTTAGAACACAAACCTGCTGGAAATGGCCAATTGACAACATGCATGAATGTCAGGCAAATAACAGCCATTTGCTACAGTGGTTCAAGAAAAAGTTACCTGCCCAAAAAACTGAAGACCCAGCATTAACATAATCTAATCCAGCAACAGCCCTAACAGAGCTCAGCCTTAGCTTCATGCCATCTTCATTCTTACAACGCCTCTCTAGCGCTGCTCATGGATGCAAGTGTAATTATACCCCTATCCACCTGTAAAGGAGGTTGGTCTCTGCCCCCTCAGAGAAACATATAGAGCTTGACAACGTCTTGGAAATGATCTCTGATCTTTACAGAAGTCTGGAATGATCAATTAGACACAACTTGTAAATAATGCAGGCTAACTCAATACATAAGAAGAATACGCTGTAATAGGATACTTAGGGAGTGTAATAGATATTTCTAGAGGAGACTTCCAGCAAAACAGCACACATTCAAAACAGATACTGGCCATTTACCTTATCACTGAGCCTTATGATTGTCATTAAGGACATTTAAAATGGCCACTAAGGATCCTGCTTTTGACGTGAGCTAGGAAATCCAATGATTAAGGTACAACATGATCTGAACACAGCATTTCTCCAAACTGGATGTATGTTCATTACAAAACATCTCACATTCATTCAGGAGAACAGCATAGCAAAAGAAGATGTTCAAACATTACCCTTCTATGCCTCAGAGCCAGCAGTCTCAGCAGACTCGCCTCAAGCTCTGGCTGGAGCATAAAGCATGTGAGTTCTGAGCCAGACTCACTCCCAGATTACTCAGAGGCAGTGAAAGCAAAGGGATGACACCTTTGATAAAGAATATATTATTCACCAGGGGAAACAAGTCTCTTCACCATTTCATCCTGTCTTCTCATCAGCTGGTATCCACAACACAGGCACTTTCAGGCTTGAGTTTAAGGGAGAACCAACTAGAAAAATAAAGTTCCTGTAAAGTGGCAAAAATAAAATTCTTGGGTTTTTTTGTTTTGTTTTGTTTTGTTTTTTTGGTAAAGCCACAGTAAGAGAGGGGATGGAGGGTGCCATCATCCACATGTAAGACGTCCAGTGAGCTTCACCTTGTGCTGTACAATGCTTTTACCCGAATGATCAACCAACCTGAGCTGATGGTAGTCTTTATGTAGAGGTCCTGACTCACCTCACAGAGAGCATTTTGAAAGCCTTACGTTGCCCTCCTTCAGTATATGTGGGACTAAGGATAGTGGGGTAGTATACATGAAATTTGAGGTGGCAGTAGACCTTTGTGGTTTTTTGTGCATTTTTTTGCTCTAAACACCAAAATAAATCAAGAACAATTTTGTTCTCTTCACTACAGCCCAATCAGCAGAACAGAATGTGGACTCTGTCAAGAATTGATACATTTATTGTTGACTGGGCCCCAAACAACAAGAATGCCACTGGGCAGTTATGTCACTCCCTCACCCTTCCCATATCTCTTTTAACACAGACCCTAGTGCCAGGTATGGATGGTGAGCTCAGGAACATCATGGCAGCATGAGTATTTCTTTTTTTGCACTGCAGCAGCACTCCTCTCAGTAATCGGGGTGCCCATGGGATCAGGCAATGCTTGCAAGCTCAACCACAAGAGAATTTTATGCCCCAGCTTCTAGCTGGAACACATCCCTGCTTTCTATCTTTGGAGCACTTAGAATCTTAGAATCTGGGGACCATCCTGGGGATAGCAGTGAGGCCAAGAGCCAGCACTGGAGCGGCAGAAGCAGCATCACTGCCACTGGGAACAAACTTTCCTCCCCGCATTTGCATTTCCCATCTTTATACTGCCAGTTTCCAAGTGCCAGAAGGAAGGGAGAGGAACATATGGGAATAGGGAAGGTTTGTTATAATTTACCTAGGAGCCTATCTGCCTGGATGGCCTTATGCATTCATGTTTGGAAAGAATTCTCTTGTGCCAAAATGAAACAAAACAAAACAAAAATCCCACTGTATGTGGTAATTACTTGGCATTAATGGAACATTGCAGAGTAAATGCATTTTAACTTGGTCCCGCTCCAGCTGGTCTCTCTGGCTCTCTATGTCTTATATGACCACATCAACTCCTCTCTCTGTAGGTGAAATAGAGGACTTTTGGTTGTTCTAAGGACTCTGAAGCTGTAGGGACTTAGCACACGGCTGGTAAATCAGAATAGAAGAGAGCAACTTATTTTGTGACAACATGGCCAACATTCCTCTTGAGCCCTATGTATGCTGAAAAAGAATCTGAAAGGGAAATGCAGCCCTGCAGAAGTCACTGAAATCCTGAGCCAGGGTGGTCACAGACTGCCCAGAGCTCCTCACCCCAGACAATGGAGTAAGAAGTCAGCTCCACGAGCTTGCATGCATGCAGCAGGTGTTCGAAGGGACATTGTGGGAATGAAAGGGAGCCATTAAATAAACTATGACACTGTCAGGCTCTCTGCAACATCTCTCTTTTACAGAGTGTAACAAAGGCTTTACAGTTCCATCACAGCACAAGATGAGGATGGGGAGAGAGAAAGAGATGGAGGTCTGAAAAAAGGGTCCCACGGAAATAGGCACAATCCTCAGAGGCGGTGCAGAGAAAATGAAAGGCCTGCACATTCATTAATGTGTTCCAGCCTCACACACACACGCTGGCCAAGTTTCTATCTGGTCACTCCCAGTGATGCTATCCAGCCAGCTCCTTCAGCTCCCTCCATTGCCTCTCTTAGCCTGTTCTCCTGCTCTGGGAACGTCCCTAGAGTTGTACTGCAGACAATTGCATGGTTAAAAATGGAAGTAAAACAGCCAGCCTCTCCCTCTCACCCAGGGTTGGCAGAAGATTTTGGGTGTAGAGACAGATTTAAGATCTTGGATTCAAGGAAACTATGTCACTTGGCACAAGATGATGAACCAACCCATTATTTTAAAGTGATTTTTTGTGCTGAAATATTCCTATCAGTTTCTATGACAACTCATTGCAGGTCATAGATTTCTAATCCAAGAAACCTCTTAATTGGTGTAGTTGCAGGTCATTTGTACTAATCAAATTGTTGGCTACTTTGCAAATGCTTTTCTTACTGACCCCAAAATCCCAGAAGGGCCCGACCACAGAATTATTGTTCTGCAGTATGTCTCTTAAAAGTGCTTAGCAGAAGCTTGATGTGATGCAAATAATTTATCAGTGTTACTAGGATGAGAAGCAAGATTTTTAATTTTCATAATCAGAAAAAGCCCTTTGTCTTATTTTCTCTTGCTTCTGCAAATAAGATCCAAATGCATAACTGGCATCTACCTACAGAGGATCTTTGTTTAAGAGTCATGGTTGCTACACTCAAATTTAGTAATATTTCACAGAATCCTGCAGAACAAGCAAATACAGCTAGGAAAAAGGACATGATCTCTAAACATATCAGCAATCCTGAAGAAGTGCTTGAATGCCTGAAACCTTGTCTGGTTTTAGTATGATTATTTCTAGTGATGCATTAATATATACTGCCCCTCCCTAAAAACCTAGCCTCAAAACATATGTTCCTGTATTCCAGAGACAGCACAGACTGTCAAGTCTGATCACCATGAATGCACTTGCAAAGAATGCTACCTGGTTATGCTTACACTGAGACTATGCCATTTTTGAGTTTCCAGTGGCTTATGTAAAGAAATAAACTTAGGAAAATACATATCCTCTGACTTTAGCAGAGCTGGTAACTGTTTTTGACATTGCAGCTGCTGTGCTTAATGTTATTTCTCCAGTTTTTTGTGCAAGGAAAATGTTTAAATTCCTCACTGTTTAAACTGAGTCTCAGTCCTAGATATGCAGCTCCTGGATTCAGGCAAAGATTGGCAAATCTCAGCTCTCATCAAGAGAAGAAGGTACATTTCTAATTTGAAGGTCTAAAAGAAAACTTCAAAATCTAAAGACTCAAAGACCCCCAGAAGAAATATCAGAAATCAACATTATGAAATTCCACGGTTTCAAGTCCACTTTCACATTTGGAGGCTTTGGGTCATATTTTCAAAGTGCCCAGCTGTGGACACACGTCTCTGCATCCTCCTTATAAAAGAAGCAAGTCAAAGCAGGAGTCACTAGGAACGTGGTACTCCCTAACAGGACAGGTTACTCATGGCACCTGGCATTCTTTGACTTTCTCTGCTTCTTGAAGGCACCCCAGATTTCTTTGTAAAAGCGTGTTTCCTCTACTGACAGTGCTCTGCAGCTCCTGCCTGCAGTAATATATGAGAGATTTTAGCACCACTGCTGTGAAATCTCAAAGCTCTGTTTTATAAGGAGCCATTTCCCCCCCTGCACCGATTGCAAGAACACAAGGCGAAGCCAAACAAAGCTCTTTATTCATTGCCTTAACCCTCTAAGTCACACACCCCCATGCCTATGCACACACACACAGACACACTTCAGCAAGATCCTTGTGCGTACTCAAGCAGGCACAGCCCCAGGCAATAAGAGGAGAAAGGGACCTCATAATTGTCATTTATCAATATTCATAAAGAAACTGCCTTAACCCCTCCTGTGCATGCTATGAAAAAAAAAAAAAACACACACAAAAAAAAACATAACACAAAATGAAACCCAACCAAAATAAAAATAAAATGAAATAATCATCTCGCTGCTCATTACCGCAGGGAATTTCCTCTCAATGTCACCACTGCCCTGTGCAGTAATTGGCATTATCTGTTATCTCTGAAGCCGTAATAAGGTTTGCCACGGGGCATTTTCTGTAATCATATTTTTATTTGTCAGCTTGTGAGATACAGACACCAAATATGAGCTTGACCAAAGCACAAACCCAACACACAAAATAAGGACGTGGCCAATCCCAGCTTTTGGTGGTGATGTCACCCCCAGCCAATGCGGCACCCGCCAGCTCGCTCTGCCCGGCTCCCACCTCCTCCCGTGCTGCAGCATTCCCTTGCTGCAAATAAGAGCCTCTTCCTGAGGAAAGCAAGGATTTGCGACCTACCCCAGTATTTGCTCCTACATTGTTTTACAGTAATTATAGGTGGTGCTGAATTAGCTGAGAGCTCTCCCACACTATGGATGCAAGATACGCAAAAGGATTACTGATTCGCAGCATCCAGCGCAGACATCTTAAAGGTACTGACGTAAGAGAGAAGACACCCATTCTTTGGTAGCTTAGGAAAAAATCGTTAGTTACATCCAAACCTCTGTCCTAGCTAGCAAGGTCTTATGTCCAAGGGACTCCAGGTTACTCTGCCATTTCTTGCATCACTTCTGAGCACATCTGTGCGCTGCAGCACAACACAGAGCCCTCAGAACTAGCACAGAGCTGGAAGCAGGAGCAATGCTGCTGCATCACTGAGCTCACCATTCTGCTTGCTAGCTCAGGCAAAGCACCAGAGTAACACAGATACGCTGTTTGCAGGATCACACACAACACCTCTGCACAGCACTGCTTTTCAAAAAAGGGTCCCTAGCACAGCAAGGGAAGCCCTTACAGAAATGAGAAGTACATTATCTGAGAGCTTCTTCCCCACAGGTAAGCACACCACCAAACTCTGTGACTCAGCCTCAGGATGAGATACCTCAAATCTTTGCTCTTAGTTTCCACTACATAAAATACGAGGACTGCACTGAAAGCAATGCCTCTATGTTATTATGTCGGCCCATGACATCAAGGGTGGATGTTGGTGGTATGGCAGTAGAGGTTGAACCTTCCACCCAAATTTCATTACATGTTGTTGCCGTGCAACAGATGGCAGCAAAGGGGCGGTGTGACAGAATGGCATCTGATGTGGAAGTGCAGATGAGGAAAAGATGAATCACTGCATTCCACTATGCAGAAAAAAATGGCACCCAGTGACGTTCATTGACACTTAAATATTTATGGAGACCAACCAGTGGATGTGAGCACAGTGAAAGCCGGACTGCATGGGCAACATTTTCCTAGCAATGGTGCCATAATAACAGCTGTGAAACAGTGGGTCACTTCTGCTGGTGCAGATTTTTATGAGCTAGTATCTGGCTCTTGCTTATTACTGACAAAAATACATAGCTAATGATGGTGATTTTGGTGAAAAATAGCATTTTGTAGCTGAAAGTCTGCTCCATCAAGTAGTGTTATTGTGCTATTTGTAACCGTTGTAGGTTCCATGGAAATAAATAAGAGGCATTACTTTCAGAGCAACCTATGTAATAATGGAAAGTTCCTACTTTTATAAAAACAACATGAAGCCATGAAAGCACGTCCAAGCTCCAAGCCTATTTTGCTTCCTCGTCTGAGCTGCTCGTTTGAAGATACCTTCTCAGACACAGGTGATTTCTCCATACCATAGCAGCAAAAGCATTTTATTGATGGCAGCACTGGGGAATCCCTTCTGATTTTTTGATCCATGAATCTCGATGCATCAACACATTTTGAACAGTGAAAGCTGAATGTGGCTACATACTGCTGTAAAAGCAAGCCACAGACGCTTCTCTGTGTTTTGGGAGGTATTGGAAGAAGATCGGACAATGATATGGGTCTAGGGACACCAGGCTATCAATCCATTCTGCCAGTGAGTTAGAGGCACACACATTTAGTCATTAACCAAAGCAGAAGCCTTCATTTTTCAACGTGGTCATAACTGGATAACCTGGCTGATGAGATGATTTGTCATTTCACTGCCCCATGACAGGACAAGGTCAGGCTTCATTGCTTAGGAAAGCACATTAACTTCTATATTCACACAGATGCACACAAATGTATTTCTGCATGCTCTGATTCTCAAAAAGGGTTTATGATAACTGCTCAGAGTCTCACACAGAGTCTAGTATAACACCAGCCACACAAGTCTCAGAGTGACCGGGAGGGAAGGAGAGCTTATGATTTACTAGCTAGCTTATTCAGCAGTAGATGTTAGTAGAGTGGGAGTTGGCAAGGAGACAGGGGATTTACTTCTAAACAAGACTACTGCCTACAATCCAATATGTTTAACAGAGGAAAATGATTTCCTCAAGAGAGACGTGCACTCTGCCTTGGAAATTCCACATATCCTTAAACCTGCAGAAATGCTTGTCTGTCATGTTGACAGCCTCACCACGAGCCTCGCTGAGTTTATTACTCAGACATGTCACAAGGCATCCAACAAAAGCCCAAAGGACTGATGTGAATGTTTTCATAGAAACTTCTGTCCCAGTTGTGAATCATATTTCTCTGGAATATTCATTCGAAAGAATACATGGTTTCTTTTCAGTTGTACTTAAACATTATTTGAGGCTTCTTGGATCAGATTCCTAAGTGTGAAGCCATGCAGTGAACAGAGCCATCTATGTATTCAACCCAGCAGTGTTTACACTGCCCAGCACACATAGATGCCATTTATGCTGCAGATATTTGGTATGTGAGTTCTCAGCACAAAACTGGGGTTACAGAAATCACTGTATTGTTATTGAGAAGTATCCACAGGGTGATTATGCAAACCCAGCTACTGCAATATCTAACAGCAGCCCGCAGCCTCCTGCAGAGGGGAGATCTGTGGCTTCAAAGAAGTAACTGCACAGACACAATGTAAATGTCTCCCCCAGCCAATCTTATTGCAAGGAGCTGCATTTCTGAGAAATAAGCAGGTCAGCAGCTGCACAGAAACCATGTGCTCAGACTCACCATAACAACATTGTAAAATTGTAAAACATAATGTAAAATTTACATTAGCTAAACTTGCTGAAGATTAAGTGGAAACTGGTTCAATTTAAAACATCACCCAAACGAGCAGGTTTAAACCACACTTTATGGTAAAATCATCTGATGGAGTTTGTAAATATAAATTCCAGACACATCAAGCAAATTCTTCCCTACTGGAAAGGAAATTAAAGGCAACAATGACTCAAATGCCCAGAAGGGACTTGGGCAAAGTTGCCAAAAGCCAGCAGGTTTCCAAAAACTGAAGGAAGCCATAAAATGACTTGGCTGCATTGGTATCTGTCCCAAGTTTCTTTAGGGACTCATTCTGAAACAGGGTTTGTAATTCTGAGTTATTAGAAAGTGCCCCAAAGAATGATGGAAATTAAAAAGCTTTTCCATGGTGGTTTTGGTTTTCCTGATTAAATCATACCCTATGAATGAATTCTCTTCCAAAGATAATGTTCTCCATGAAAAGCCTGTTTGTGACTGGTATGCATTCTCACTGACAGCCAAGAATTTAAAATATGCCAGCACTTTACACAATGCCTTTCCAGCTTTACAACATTGGTTACTTAACAGTGTCAGGAAATAAGATGCTTGTAGTATGTGCTTTTATGTAACAGGTAATTCCTGTTGGAAATGACTGTGCTCACCATATTGAATGACTATGGCAGAAGTCTAAAGCAGAGATGATTTGTCGGAAGAACTTCCTGGCTTCTTTTGGTGTCAATCTTCCCTTTTTTACAAGATAGTCGAAGAGCTCCCCACCTGACACGTGTTCTAGCACCAAGTACCTAGAAAAAAAAACACCAACAAAGTCAGGATTTGTAAGTACACTATCATACCAGCCTCTCACACATAGCTATGTACAAGCGTTTTTACATTTGGTCAAGCAGAACACTTCTGGAAACAAATGAAGAGAATCAGAATTTTAAAAGAAAAAATAATTAAATTTTTAACAGGGTTCTTCTGCAAATTTCATACAAGCCAATGACTTGAAACAAGTCAGTATTTCACTGATTTATTGCATTCAGTGTTCAACAGTCCAGTGAGTGAGAATCTAAAAGCCAGAAATGCCCCCAAAGGACAAGAAGGGGAAGAAGAGAAGAATCGGGTATAAGCTTTCACGGCAGCTCTTAAAGCTACTGTGGAAGGCTCATGTCTTTTAACCAAGCTGACAGTTCCTTTATAAAATAGCTTTGGCAAAACTGTCCTCATGTACTGCTCTGCCTTAGACACTCAGGACCCAGACAGATGTCAACAAACTAAAGGGAGTTCAGAAAAAGGTGAGTAGTTTAAATTATGAGAGAAGATCAAAAGAACTACATGTGTGCAGCCTAAACAAAGGCTTCAGCTCTTGCTGCTCAACAGCAGTGATTTGCTGGAGCAGCTGTTCCCCCAGCTCACATGTGAAGAATGTGACACTGAGCGAATAAATGCGGCACAGTGGGAACCTAGGAGTGAGGGACGAGAGCCCAGCCCTCATACAGCACTCCTGGCAATCAAAGAGAAAAAAGTGAAATCTTCTGGAAGGAAAGGACCTGCCATGGATGGACCATCTTGTTGCTGTAAGTGGATGTGATGAAAGACAGCAAAATAGAAGAAAACTAAGCACAAATCTCTGTAAATGCTGCCTAACAGAGCCTAATAATTTCCTTAAGGAAGTAGTACAACACCATCAACTGAACCTTCACTTTACAGTCAGCCAGTGTTACTACCAGTATTAATCCAACTTTTCAAATTTGAGAGGACAGTGAAAAACATTAATCCTGGGTACTTCCTCTTCTGTACTTTGAGCAATGTAATCTCAGGGAAAATCTCTGAAACGGAAAGAGGAGACAAGTTTTATAAAATTGGGAGCTTAATTCCTGTTTTCAAAGTTCGCCAACAGATGGAATAGTTGATGGAGTGATGGAAAATAAAGTAGTAAAAATAGTAAAGTGGTTTAATAATAACAGCATTAGCCTTCAAGTTGCAGAAGTGGGACCTGAGCTCTTGTTTCATCTACAGCTACTGTGCATCAGCCACGTGTTGTATCCTAGCCAGCAAAAACAGAAAGTGCTTCCCTTCCAGAAATGCAGCAGAGAATGCAGCAAGGGACGGACATTAACACTGTCTTGATAGCTATCTAAGTAGGATGAGAGCATAAAAAGGCAGACAACAAGATGAATTTCTAAACTTTAGGGAATTGTATCTATAGTTTCTGCATTTTTAACCAAATAAAAAACAAGTTATGAAAATATGGCAATATTGACAATTTTTCATTTAAGCGAGCAACGAGAAGAATCTTGACTCAAAAAACACCTTTGAAACAGCTAGGTTACCTACACTCCTGGAGGAGATGGGTACTCACCAGACTGATAACAGGGAGATAACCATTTATCTGCCTTACTCTTTTCCAGCAAGACACTGAAACAGTCAGAAGAAAGCCGATGTGCAGAAGCCGTGGGCACTGTGGCATTTACATTTTCCAGTTCCAGCCCTGACTTCCCAAATCCTGGCTAACAGACACTCCAACAAGGTTTGCTACATAACTCATTCTCCCTCTCACACTAGAGACAGATTTGGCTAAATATCCCATGCAGCAGACCCAAATGTGGCAGGGAATCAATCCTAAAATTCTCCTTCACATCTCCTTCTCTAACTGTGCCCAGCAGAAGCTGGATACAGCAGTGCATCTTGCCCCCAAAATTCAAACTGATAGCTTTTTTTTTTTTCCTGCAAGGGATTTCATGAGGATGGTTGTGGTTACAGGCATACAGAAAAGCCTCTACACTTGTTTCAAATGCACAGTTTTGGAAAATTACAGACCCAGCATTTCTGTCACCCACAGCAGGAACTGCAAAGCAATTTATTTTCATCAGCATCATCTTATTAAAAACACTCAACAAAAATGCACTGACATGTTGTACGGAAAATAAAACAAATTGAAAGACAGGGAGCATTTACAAGGTTATTCATTTCTGCTTGCCACCCAGAAGCACCAGATATAATAATGGAAGTGAACAGGGGAGAGAGTCTGAAAAAGATTTGTGCCTCTGACAAGTCAGGGGACATAGAGAAGCACAGCAACGATGTATTCTGATCTGACAAAGCCCTAACGTGACAGGAGTGAGAAGGACGACAAACACATTCCCCAGTGGTCAAGTGCAAGAAATAAATGCTGCAGGGATGGTTCCACAAGCACCATGTGGTTATGCTGCATGTAGCACTTCTGAGCTCAAATTTGCAGCTGGTCACCCGTCAACCCTATTCCCTACACTATGATGGTTTTTTTTTAGGATAGCCCCTAACTAGGAGATTTTCGATTAAACAAGGGCATCATTCTGCACCTGCCTCCATCTCTGTGCAAGCCAATGTGGCACCAGCACATTACATGGCACAGGAGCACTACACGTGATTTCCAAATAGGCCAAAGAAAGGAGTTTAAGCACTTTCAAGTGTTGTGCCAGTTCTACCATCATACAGCTACACAATCCCCACTAAATGCTATGTATATAGATCTGTATCTGTATCTTTACATGTGTAACATACTCACCATAAAAGAACATACACATTCTGAAAGGCTTTCAAGAAGTGTTTTTCAAACATACAAAGCTAATGAGAGAAAGAACATTATGCCTATGTAAGACTGATGGCACTGGTCATCCTACTGTAAAAATGTAAAAAGAAAACCTTGCTCCATGGCAGCCATTGCAAAGAAGGCTCAATGAAAGTTAAGGCTGGTGGCACACACCCCTCCCGCTGGATAATACTGAGAGGAGCATAGCAGGACAAAAGACACAAGGTAAGATCACACAGCTCTCACCTCTTGGATGCACTGGCCACATATCAGCTTTGCTAATCCTTGCATTACACATGGGACAAGCTTGAGATTAGTAATCTCCTAAGGAAAGTGACTTGCCCGGAGTTACAAAGCCACCGAATATCAGAGCTGGGCTCAGTCCCTGTGGTCTTTTGCCCCTTCTGCATCATACTGTCCCCACCAATTTCTCTGCTTGCTAGGACATGGAAAAGCAAGAAACCAAAAGCCTTCTGCTACTTGATATGAAGCCAAGTGCACATGGTGTTAAAAAATAAATTACTGATTAAGGATTTTCTTTGTAAGATAGATTCATTAAGAGCTTGTAAAAGTTTTCTCAGGTCACAGCTTGCTTTCATAAAGATAAGGTCTGAGTCTTGTATGATATTCCTGCACACTCCTAGTACAAGTCAAGACATTAAAAAAATCTATGATGAAGATTCAAAGCTTCAAGGAGACAAGACTTCAGACTTTCAAGACAAAGGAGCTCAGTGCTTAATGCAAGAATTATATCATCTGTTGGAGAGGGGCAGAAAGATTGGGTGCAGCAACATTGACTATTCCCTTTGTCATTTTTTCCATCCATCTCTTAGCATCACCACCTTCCCATTAAAAGCTAGCAAGTTCCTAAACCCAAATGATCTAGTACATATCATATGAGAAACATACACGCAGCTTAGAAAAGGAATAACCTTGACTCCTTCCTTGCTTCTTGTTTCACTGCAATGAGCCTACACTCCTTTGTTTCTTTGTTTCACTTTATTTACTCTTTATTTACTCTTTTACCCAAACAATAAACAAATAATAACAGAAACCAAACAGTACAGGAAAGGAGGGATGATTTCTGTATGTGAAAGAAATGGAGTAAGCCAAGATGAATATGCAGAAAGCGGCCTTAAATCACCCTCGTGCCCCTCGGATTGTGACTATATTAGGAACCAGCAGACTCCCCATGGTTGGCTACAGCTTGTTCAGTAGCTTGGGGTGGAAGCTTAACAAAAAAGCACTATACCTCTCCTCCTCATTACCCCAAATTGCCTGTATGCTGCAGATGACGAGATATGACAGCACACAGCCCATCAGTGACACATCATTCATGCACCTGACACACGGTCTTTCAAGTCATTTTAGTCTTTTCCAAATCCAGTGTGTCAGTAGGACTCCTATAAACACAGCAGATGGTCCATTTTTCCCTGGGAACTGTCAGTAAATACTTGATGATCAACAACAAATTTAAAAGTAATTCAACACAACAAACACAATCCATCATATTTTTGTTATATCCAACTATGCTACCAACCTGTCAGGGCTGTGAGGATTTGTGATGCCATTACCAGTAGTTAAAAGATCAAAAACTGTGGCTTTTGTTCTAAAACACACAAAAAAAGTTGCAACATTTTGGCTTTCAGCTAAAAAAATCAGTACAATTTTCTCCTTTTTTTGCCTTAATAAACTAAGATGTTGATTTTTATCTCTAATGTCTTCTGTTGTCCTAGTACCAGCTCAGACACAACAAGGCTAAAACAGATTTCTGCCTCATCACTCTGTCCCACTTCTTCCTTTATCCCTAGAGGAAACACTGCTTATTTGATTATGATTCAGGCTTACAGTGTGGGTGCTAATTTTGACTCAGGTCTTCTTCAAGTTCCTGCAACTTGGTTATATTAATATCTTATAGAAGTTTTCTTTATTAGAGATCTAAGATAACGATTTTCCTATTGCAGATTCAAACAAAAATTGATGAGAAAGTAATGCCTTCTATTTTATGATGTCGGCCCACAACATCAGAGGCAAATGTTGGTGGTATGATGTTACAAGTTAAACCTTCCTGCCAATATTTTGTTACTTTTTGTTGCCATACAACAGATGGCAGCAGAAGGGCAGTCAGACAAAAGAACATCAAGTCCAATCATCAAGTCCAATCATCAATCTGACGTATCAAGTCCCATCACTAAACCCTTAGTGAAACTTGTTCCTTAGTGCCTTGTCCAC